CGTCGTCGACGTTGTCGTCGTCGGCGTCGCCGTCCGGTCTCCTCCTTCGTCGTTCGCGTCGTCGCCGTCCTCCCTCCTCCCTCGTCGTTGTCGTCGTTGTCGTCGTTGTCGCCGTCGTCGTCCTCCCTCCTCCCTCGTCGTCGTCTTCGTTGGCGACGTCGTAGTCGTCTTCGTCGTCGTCGTCAGCGTCGGGGTCGTCGTCGTCTTCGTCGTCGTCGGCGTCGGCGTCGACGTCGTCGCCGCCGTCGTCGTCGTCGTCGTCGTCGTCGGCGTCGTTGACGTCGACGTCGTCGTCGGTGTCGTCGTTGTCGTCGTCGTCGGCGTCGTCATCGTCGTCGTCGTCGTTGTCATCGTCGTCGTCGTAGTCGGCGTCGGCGTCGTCGTCGTCGTTGTCGTCGTCGTCGTTGTCGGCGTCGAAGTCGTTGGAGACGTCGTCGGTGTTGTCGCCCAGCTGGGATGTGCCCAGCAGTCAGCGCCACCGCGGCCGCGTCGGTCGCGCCAAACTGGCTGGCCGCTGCGCGCGCTAGGGTTGGCGCGGCCGCAGACATGGGCCAGCTAACTCCAGAGACTCATCGCAATCGTCACCACATGGGTTTTGCAAGCCAAGTTGCAGGTGGGTGGGTCGGATGTTTGCAAGAGCGTGGGATGTGTCAATTCGTTTGTTAAAATCAAAAAACAGAAGAGGATCTACCCCCCCTCCGGCGTTCGCCGCCCCCCTGTCGGGTATGTAAATCCTACATGCTTCTGACCACATGTCTTCCTAAACATGAAGTTACACTATCCCGGAGGGGCCGGTATCGGTCCCCCTGAGGTTCCCTTGTAAAAAACAATACGCGGGGACATCTTTTGCTAAAAAAGCTTACGCGCGAGCTCTTGCGAAATCTTAAGAAAACCATAGGTTTTGCAAGATTTCCACAAACTGCTACCAAACGGGCTTCCCGCGCGCGCATGTGGAAATCTGTCGAACGCCCTTGCGCGTGTGCCGTCGCGAGAATCCTTGGCAAAAAATGGGACGAAGTGCAGACGCGTGCGTCGTCGCGCGCGTATGCCGAAATCTTTCAACACCCATCGTTTCGGAAGGAGTCCAAAATCGCGTGTCCAAAAAACCTAAAAAAACACCAGCTTTCGCAACACGGATTTTCAACAAAAGCGTGCGCGCGCGCTCTTGCGTCGTCGTCGTCGTCGTCGCCGTCCTCCCTCCTCCCGCGTCGTCGTCGTCGTCGTCGCCTACGTCGTCCTCTGTCTTTCCTCGTGTTCGTCGTTGTCGTCCTCTTTGGCGTCGTGGTCGTTTCCGTCGTCGTTGTCGCCGTGGTCATCCTTCCTTCTCCTCGCTCGTCGTCGTCGTCGTCGTCGTCGTCCGTCGTCGGCGTCTCGTCGTCGTCCCTCCTATTTCGTCGCCGTCGTCGTCGTCGTCGTTGTCGTTGTCGCCGTCGTCGTCTTCCCTCCTCCCTCGTCGTTGTCGTCGTCGGCGTCGCCGTTCTTCCTCCTTCGTCGTTCGCGTCGTCGCCGTCCTCCCTCCTCCCTCGTCGTTGTCGTCGTCGTCGTCGTCGTTGTCGCCGTCGTCGTCCTCCCTCCTCCCTCGTCGTCTTCTTCGTTGGCGACGTCGTCGTCGTCTTCGTCGTCGTCGTCGGCGTCGGCGTCGTCGTCGTCGTCGACGTCGGCGTCGTCGTCGTCGCCGCCGTCGTCGTCGTCGTCGTCGGCGTCGTTGACGTCGTCGTCGTCGGTGTCGTCGTTGTCGTCGTCGTCGTCGGCGTCGTCATCGTAGTCGTCGTTGTCATCGTCGTCGTCGTCGGCGTCGGCGTCGTCGTCGGTGTCGTCGTCTTCGTCGTCGTTGTCGGCGTCGAAGTCGTTGGAGACGTCGTCGGTGTCGTCGCCCAGCTGGGATGTGCCCAGCAGTCAGCGCCACCGCGGCCGCGTCGGTCGCGCCAAACTAGCTGGCCGCTGCGCGCGTGCTTGGGTTGGCGCGGCCGCAGAGATGGGCCAGCTAACTCCAAACACTCATTGCAACCGTCACCACATGGGTTTTGCAAGCCAAGTTGCGGGTGGGTGGGTCGGGTGTTTGCAAGAGCGTGGGATGTGTCAACTCGTTTGTTAAAATCAAGTGCACCACGTAGGTTGCACCGCATATTTTGCACCATGGATTGCGCAACGTAGATGGCACAACACAAATTGCACCACGTAGCTTGCACAACGTTGACCGCACCAGATAGATTGCACCGCGTCGCTTGCACCACAGACTTGACACCACACAGATTGAGGTTGCCCCACACATATTAGCCAACATATATTCCACCTCTTAGGTTTTATTGTACCGCGTATATTGCACCACGACTCTGTGTCATCGCCTTCCTGGCTAAGCGTGGCTGTGGACTTTCTTTCTTTGGTCGCAAGTGGGGCCGCTCTTCGTTTGCACCTGCACCCAGTTCGACACCTACATGGACGTGTTCCTGGTGCCGCTGCGCTGAGCTCCGCTCCGCTCTGTGCATGGCGTTGCTCGCCTTTCTGTTTTCCCTTAGCTTGTGGCACGGCCTGCCCCTGCTTGCGCGGCGTTCGGCTTGCTCTGCGCGCCCGCGTATCACAAGTATACTGCACCACGTAGGTTCTCATTTCTGAAGAAAGGACAGACTCTACCCCCTTTGTATTATAGGTTCCCCTTTGTCGTATTTCAATGTACATCTGATTCTGCCCCACCGTTCATGCGAAATCTGAGTTCGTACCATCCCAGGGGAACCAGTATCGGCCCCGCCACCCTTTGCAAAATATGCAATGCGCGCACTCGTTGGTCAAACATAATATGTGGTCAAGAGCCGCTTGCAAAAACTGAGACGCAGTGCGCACGCGCGCGTCGTCGCGGGCGCATGCCGCAATACTTCCAAAACTGTAGTCGGATGTCAAAATCGAGCGTTCAAAAAACATATCAAGACACATAGTTTCGTGACACGGGTCTTCAAACATCGTTTGCGCGCGTTCTTGACCATGACATCGTTCGAAATCATTCGCACGCCTTTGCGCGCGTGCCGTCGGGAGAACCCTTTGCAGCAAAAGCGGGACGAAGCTCACACGCGCGCGTCGTCGCGCGCGTATGCCGGAATCCGTCAGAAACTTTCGGTGTCGTGACCATGTCAAAACCGAGTGTCCGAACAACATGTAACACATGTTTTCGCAACGTCAGTTTCAAATGCACATGCGCTTTCGCTCCTGCGAGCTCTTAAAAAAAACCGTTGGTTTGTCAACATGCGCATGGCGTTTTGCCAAGCGGGCCTCTGGCGCCGAATGCCGACATCATTCGCACGCCCTTGCGCGCGGGGGGGGGGGGCACGATACGTGTCAGAGACTACCGCGCGGTCGCTCTCGCGCGTCGGCCGCGCGCGCATGTCGAACCCTTTGTTTTCCAAACCTTCATCACCGACGCTAGGACGCCGTCATCGTCGTCGGCGTGATCAGCATCAGCGCCCGCATTGGCCGCGCCGTCGTCGTTGTCAACATCGTCATTACCATCACTTTTATCATCATCGTGTCTACCGTTGTCGACGTTGCCATGATACCGCGGCCGCTCAAACCGCCGACTCGCAGTGAAATGCCAGCTGGGATGTGCCCGGCCGTCAGCGCCACCGCGGCCGCGCCGGCCGCGCCAAACTAGTTGGTCGCTGCGCGCGCGTGCTTGGGTCGGCGCTGCCGCAGACATGAACCAGCCACCGCATGGGTTTTGCAAACCAGGCTGCGGGCGGATGATTGCGCGAGCAGTGGAGGTAGGCAAGCGCGGTGCAGGATAGTCAGTTGCACCACATGATTTGCTCCATATAACGTGCTCCATACAGGTTACTAGAAACACGCAATGTTGGGGGCCCGCTGTGGCGAACAGATGTTTCTGAGCTCGTGCCAGACGAAAGTTTTATGCTTGAGTACCTTCGTCGCAGGCCATATCCTCCAACACCCCCATGTTGCGAGGATGACTCAAGCGACGCGCCACCCCCCAGATTGAATACCCGACGCTCTTGTGGACGTATGAAAATACGTGCCCCGCGCCGTTGGTGTCCTCGGCGAAAGCTTCAGGTTTGAGAACCAAGTAAAACAACAAATCTTCGAACAGTCCAACATTCCCATGTTGTGAGTACGTCTCAGACGAAGCGACCCCCACACACCATGTTGAACATCCGATGCCCGATCTTCAACCTCTCATTATTCGGAGGATGTCTAGGGTTATTATTATTATTTTAACAAATAAATAAGGTAGAATAAACAAATGTGTTTGACAACCGCCGTCGCAAAACAATTCTTCCAACCTTCCCATGCTCAGGCAATACACCATGTTGGATATGCGACGTCCCCGCGGACACGTGAAAACACGTGCCCCGCGCGCATGCCCGCTTCCCACCCACGTATTATCACACATAAAGAATCCTACGTGAGTAAGTTGGGTACCCTCCTGGGGCCCCCGTTGTCGCCGGGAAAGAGTGGAAGAAAGACAACACATCCAAAACGCATGCGCGACGAGACGCGTGTCGACGATCCCACCTTTCCGCACCCGATTTTAACGCGGAACGGATCCGACGCGAGTAAGTTGGATACCGCCCTGGGGGCCTTGTTGTCGCCAGGAACGCGTGAAACGCGTGCCACACGCACGCGCGAGAAGACGCATGTTGGAGACACCCCCCTTCCGCACACATATTTCTGCGTGCCCAATTCCAAGGCCACTTGCTCCTCACTTCCCCCCTACAGGGCCAAAGGCCTGCACATGAAAAGAGGATTTAGGCCGAAGCCCTTACTAGGATAATAAAGCCTCACACTCCCAGGAGAAGGGATAATTATTATTGCACGGCACTTCCAGTCTGCATTGATCATGCGTCGCAGCGGTTGTAGTGAAAACGGTAATCTTTGTTCGCGTCCTCCCCCTCCTCCGCCATGCTCCCCTTCCCCCTCTCATCCTCCTCCTCTACCGCCTTTCCCCTCCTCCTCCTTCCTCCCCCTCACGTCCTCCTCGCCCTCCTGCTCTTGGGCAGGACCTGCTGAACGAAAAGCGCCTGGATGAAGAGCCCGGGGTCACCCCCGGGGAGCTGCAGCGGAAGGTGCGCGTGCACGAGATCAGGATCGACAAACTCTGGGAGAAGAGGCAGACCCTGAGGGAGGAGCTGTCCGAGTACGACGCGCGGCTCGAGGAAAAGGCCCAGGCCGTTACGGCAGCAGAGGAGAGGATGACTTCGTATACTTTCTCCTTCCTTTCCCCCCCAATGCCCCCTGAATGCTCCCCCCTTCAGGAACATGCGGCCCTAAGCGCACCAATCAGAAGGGGGTCAACCATGTTTGGTCAGGAATTGTACACTCGAGGAAAGGCCGTGAAATGTTCTAGATCGCCTCTTTATGTTTGGTTTGCTTCGGGTTGTTCTCCTCCTTATCACCCTAGGTTCGGAGGTCAAGAGTCGCCCCCACCACCCGTCCAGGGGTGAGCTCCAGCACGAATCTCGACGGGAATCCAGCCGTGGCAACGACTAAGCCCCTTCAGGGGCCCAGGAAGGTCGAGAGACACTTTTGACAGACACGCCGAGAGCCCCGCGGCAGGGAAGGTCGAGAGACACACCAAAAGCATCAATCCACGAGGGCCGGCTTCCCATCCCGAGCGTCTTTCCTCCACGGCCCCGAGACCCGCGGGGGCGCCCCGAGGCCAGAGGCGGCAACAAAAACACCGCATTGATTTTTCAGTGCGCTGCGGATCAGAGTCCCTCGGGGGGGAGATCGGCATCACCAAGACATGTTCGTACTGTGTGCGCGTCGCCTCCCAGGGGGCGACTCGCGCGCACAGAAGTCTCACACGAATTGCCCGGTGGCGGGCGCTCCTTGGCCAGGCCGCCAGGGCAGCGATATGCTAGCAGGACTGAGTCTTCCCACCAAGTCTTCTCCCCGAGGGTTGTAGCAGCCCCCCTGCGTCCCAGGAGAAGCTGGCGTCGTACGCGAGGCCGCCAGACGATCGGGCGCTGAGGCTCCAGAAGATGAAGCGGACCCTCGCCAAGGCGCACCACTCAGAGGGCCCTGGCGGCGCCTGCCAGGGCACCAACCGGCGCCGCTGGCGTCCAGCTGACCCCTTCGTCAATCGATCGGGATTGCGGCGGTGGGTCATCGGGGGCCTCCCAACCTCAGACCTCCAACGTACTGAAAAATTCAATGCGGAGGTTTTGATTGTGGTCTTAAGGCGCCCCAGTGAGGGTCAACAGGACTCGATATCTGGATATGTCGATGTCTCGATATCAAGGGCGGGGCCTGGCGGGACTCGATATTTGGATATCTCGATGTCGGCGGCGGGGTCAGCGGGGACTCGTGATTTGGATATCTGAGGGAACGCGATCCACCGTCGCTAGCCAAAACGATTTTTACGAGGTGGGGTCAGACACCAGGCCCCCCCCCCCCATTCCTGGCCCTCGCCTCCCCCCCACCCAGGGAAAAAAACGGGGGGGTCTGGACCCCCCCTCTCCGTCCCCCTCCCTTCTGGAAAATTAGTACGGGGGGTCCAGACCCCCCCCCCCGAGAAAATTATTTGGGGGGTCCCCCCCCTCTTCCGGCAAAGACGACGACGGCGCCCGCGACGACGCCGACGACGGCGACCACTTTAGCGGCTGCGGCGGCGGCGCAGCTGTCGCCGGCGCCCGCGCCAGGCGCTGGCTCTCTCTCTCTCTCTCTCTTTCTCTCTCTCTCTCTCTCTCTCTCTCTCATATATATATAGTGTTAGTACTAGGGCTCGATCCAGCTCTCTCTCTCTCTCTTTCTCCCTCTCTCTCCCTCTCTGAATCCTATGCTGGCTCGGTCCAGCTCTGCTAGAAACATGCTGCTAGGGCTGGATGCAGCTTGCGTAGAATCCTGTTAGGGGTCGATCGAGCGCAGATAGAGCCCTGTCAAGGCTCGACCCAAGCTAAGGCGGATATAATCCCACTTGGGGTTGGATCCACATTTCCTGGAACCAGCTGCAAGTGAGATTGAGTCCGATGAAGTTACAATCCGGCTCTAATGCACTCCTGTCCAGGTTCGATACATCCCTGATAGAATCATCTAGGGTTCGATTCATCTTGGGTAGAGTCGTATCGTGATTGAGCCCAACTGTAACATAATCTCACACGGGGTCTATTCAGCTCTAATAGCAGCCCACCGAGGCTGCATTTGGCTCTAATAGGCTAATTGTAATTCGGATAACATCCGATTGTAATCGGACCTTATCAGGGTACGACCCCGACGCAACATAATCCTGGAAACGCTCCGATTAGCTTTGACAACACCCTTCTATGGGCCGGTCCAACCTTCACATGTTCCCGCTAGGGTTCGACCCAGCTTCGATGGACTCCTATGCAGGTTCGATCCAGCTCTGGATCCAACTCTGATGGGATCGCATTAGGGTTCAGTCCGGCCTGAATAGAATCCTACGGTGGATGGGTCCAACTCGAGTAGAATCGTATCAGGGCTGGATCCAGGTCTGATAGGTTCTCCTACAGTTCGACCCAGCATTGATGCAACTTTGATTGAGTTAGATTCAGATCAATAACATCCTACTCGGATCCGATCCATCATTCACGGAATCTTTTTGGACCAAGATCCATTTTCAATGCAATCTCAATGGGGACTCGATCCAGTTATGATAAGTTTTAATGGGCCCAAGCCACATGGAAACGCAACCCGCTGGGGCTCGATCGTCGTCGTCGCCGGCAACGTCCAGGGCGTCGTCATCGTCGTCGTCGTCGCTGTCGTTGTCATCGTTGTGGTCGACGTCGTCGTTGTCGTCATCGAGCTCGTTGTGGTCGTCGAGCTCGTCGAGCTCGTCGTCGTCGTCTCGCTCTGGAGCGAGTATCTCTGGCGTGATCAGGACCAAGCCGCAGGTCTTCTCATATCGGGGGCGGGATATCTCAGGTGCAGAAGAGTCAGGAGAAGGCCCGCGAGTCGATGGTGAAGCCCATACAAGCCGTGCGGGCGATTCGCTACCAGCTGCGCGGGCTGCACAGGAAGCTCGGCTTGGACTGGGACTTCTCCGACTCCGACGGCGACGACGAGAGCAAGCTGAAGCCTTATTGGGAGCGGCGCAAGCTCGCCTCTGGAGGCCTCGCCCCCTTCGACCCCCACCTGTTCCTGGCCGCCGAGGAGGCGTACTTCCAGAGGCGCTGCCAGGCTCAGCAGGAGGAGAAGGCAGAGGACGAGGAAGATGATAGAGAGAGTGGTCAGAAATCGTGAGTAGGAGGAGGAGGAGGAGGAGGAGGAGGAAGAGGGTGGCAAAAAGAGACATGACTTCAGTCAGACTAGCAATGCGAACAATATGCACACCCTCACACTCTCAAGGTTGTAAGTCCCCCATCAGCATACAGGGGGATTTGTAATCATAATGCAACGCTCAGCTCTGCAGACACGCCGCGAAGAAATGCGCGAGGTTTGAGTCATACTTCAATGAATTCAATGTATCCAGCTCGTTAAACGACATGCCATGTCTTGTGCACCTTCCTGGGCGGAGGTGATACACATAGCATATGGTCCCTCTGTCTAACGGGTCACCACACAGGGGGTCGACACAGAAGGTTCCAAACAAATAGGGTCCTACACACACGGGTACTCCGGGAAGATCACCGCTTTCGAGAGGCCGAGTGGTTGACGTGTCTCCTCGGCAGGAATGAAGCGTGGGCGGCTCCGCTGGCGGCCCGAGCGGGCCACACTGTTCCACCCACATTATGTTCCAAACAACACAGGGTTTTACATTCCATGTGTTGGGCCTACGCGCTGAGATCGGTTTACGGTGTGCATTTTACCACGGTCAGTTCTTTGCGTGCCTTTGAACACGTTGAAGTCTTCCTTCTTTTTGAGCGCAGGCTTGCCATGCGCCCTCCAGACCCCCTGAGGGCACCTTGGGCCGCTCCTCCCTTGTCCCTCGGACGCGGCCAGCTCTTGATCCATGGGGGCCGAATCCTCCTCCTCTTCCTCCTTCTCTTCCCCTTCTCCTTCTCCTCCTCCTCTTCCCCTTCTCCTCCTCCTCCTCCTCCTCCTCCTCCTCCTCGTCCTCCTCCTCCTTCTCCCCGTTCATGCTCCCTCCTATCCCCCCCCCTACCTCCCCCACCCGCGCTTATCCTCCTTCTTCCCGACGGCACCGAGGCACGAAAGCCGCAGCGAGGCATTGACATTTTGAAGATAGGAGGATGACGACGAGGAGGAGGAGGAGGAGGAGGAAGAGGAGGAGGAGGAGGGCGACGAAGAAGAGGACGAATAGGAGGAATGGAAGTTGGAGGAGGAGGAAGAGGAGGAGGAGGAGGAGGAGGGCGAGGAGGAGGAGAGTAGGCACCTCCTCCCCCTGCCCCGTCGCCGCCGCAGCGGGCAGGCTCGCGAGAGCACGTTCCGCGACAACACCCAGTCCCTCGCGCTTACGCAGCTGGAGGCGACAATGGGGTACCGAGAAGACGCCGCCGGAGAGTGCGGGCGTGCTCCCAGCAGCTGCCCCCCCCTGCTCCCGCCCCTCGCTGGTTATTGCCTGCAGGGGAAGGAGGAGGATCAGGATCAGGCTCGGGCCCGTATGAGCTCGCCTGCTGCTGCTGATCACATGCTGCACGACTGCTCAGCTGGCTCAAACGCAGGGCAACTCTGTGTGGGCAAAGCTTGATGGCGCCTAACCACCTAATGCGGTCCTTGGCTCGCGAAGGAGGAGGAGGCGCAGGAGGAGGAGCAGGAGGAGGAGGAGGAGGAGGACCGAAGGACAGCAACATCACAAGCATGATGTTTCGCAGCTCCGCGCGGATTTCTTGGATCTGCGCCTGGCCACCCCGGCGGCGCCTGCGGCGCCGCCCGTGGCGCGCTCCGCGCGCCAGGCAGGCGGGGCCTGCGCCGACCCAAGAGCTGCGCTGGCTCCTCTACAAGAGAGTTGTTTTTCCCGTCCCAGCGGAGGAGGACAAGGATGATGAGGCTTAACAGGATGGGCGACAACTGCTGTCGACCCGAATAGGGAGGATGGGCAGCCTTCCCCCAGGGTGCCCTTGCATCCTTGCCTCCTCGGTCCATCCTTGGCCACTTTCGTTGGCCGCGCCCCGCTCGAATAGCTTCGAAATGGACGTCCAAGGCTCTTGCATCCATATCGCGCGTCCTTCCTATACGGGTTGACTGTATCGAGGAGGGCCCCCGCAGAGAGCGTCCCGACACGCTCACGCCGGGTCGGCCACGCGCCAATCCCTACCGTCTCGTCGTGCGGCTGGCTCCTTTCCTGCCTCGCCCTCCTCCTCCTCGTACGATGTGGCTTACCACGCTATTGGACAACAATCGTTTGGGGGTCCTGTTTGGGCAACGCCACGAAAGGGCCCTGAAGCTGATCAGGTGAGCGGCCACAGTCGCTCCGCGCAGTCCGCTAGTCGGCCCGTTCGTTTCCGGGCACGTGTCGCGCGATCGCTCGTTCCTCCCCTGGCACGAGTTGCATCCACAGACACAACGCTGCACACTTTGGAGGGCAGTGGGTACTGGTGCACGCATGAGCCTGGCAGGTGAACCGCATCCCGATCAATCGCCCTCATTCAGAAGCTGAGGAGGTGGTCGAGGAGGACAAGGAGGAGCAGGAGGGGCAGCATAATGCAAGAGAAAGAGAGGGGGGATGCAATGGCATGGGCCCCTTCGCAATGCGAATCCGAACAACAGCGTCGCCGAACGCAAGCTACGAGGACCTGGCGCGGTTTGAAGGGAAACTCTTAAGCCAGAGCTCTCCTGCGTGTTGGTATCAGCCGAACGTTGCAACGCTGAATTCAAAGGGGTGCGCAGCTGCTCGCGTTCGATCCACGCACACGCACACGCGCACACACACACACACACACACACACACACACACACACACACACACACACACACACACACACACACACACACACACACACACACACACACACACACACACACACACACACACACACACACACACACGCATACACGCACACACGCACACGTGCACACACAGACACACACACACACACATCGTCACACACACACACGCACGCACGCACGCACGCACGTGAGCATGCAGACACGAACTGAAACCCACCACACTGCATGACAAGTAAGGCATGATCTGGGATTCTGGGCGCAACTCTCCTAAGAGTATATATCTAACAGCTCTTCGGTAGATGCCTCGGGGTGGAGTCTGCAGAGGGTGTGACACAGGAAGCACGGCGCGCTGCGCCAGCTGGTGGCCATCTTTGGTCGTGGCGGACCCTCGATACACAAGGGAGCTCCTCCTGTCTGCCAGAACGAGCTGGTGACTCAAGCAATGACGAAGCGCCCTGGCCTGCCCATTAGCCCGCGAAGAACTGTTCTAAGGACCAGTTTGCGGCTTGTGCAACATGCTATCGAGAACGCCGGCGGCGCATCACCGGCCGCTCCCTGGGAGTTTGACGCAGCGTCTCGGGAGCCTCTTGGAGGCATGTTTGAAGCCTCTTCGGCTCCTCTTAGGGGCCGTTAGGGGGCCTCTTGGGGCTTCTTTTGGGCCTATTTTGGGCTTACTGGGGGCTTCTTCGGGCCCATCGAATGTGTCTTGGGACCTTGCTGGCGGGGTCGGAGGTCTCGTTGTGGCGGCAAGCTCGAAGTGTCCTTTCGATTTCCGCCTCTTGGGGCTCTCTTGCGGCACTTTTGGGCCGTATTGTGCGTCTCTTGGGTCGTCTTGGGGTGCCAGTGGGCTGTATTTGGGCGCTCTGCTGGGCTTTTGGGGCCATCTTGGGGAGACCGCGGGGGCCTGTGGACGCTCTGAGGGCCACAAGTCTGATATGCTAAAATTGCACATTTCCTCAAGGGAACGGGACGATTTGTGCTTGTTGGGGCTCTCTTTGTAGGGCTCTTGATGCCCTCTGAGGGTCTCTTGGGGGTCTCCTGGGGCCTCTTGGGGGGCTTCCTGGGAGCTCCTTGAGGCCTCCTGGGGGCCTCTTGGGGCCTCCTGGCGGTGCTTGGAGCGGAAGGCTCGAGCTTTCCGTTCGTGGCCCCCCTCCGGGTCCCCTCTTGGGCTCTTCTTGGGGCCCTCTTGGGCCGTCTTGGGCGCCTCTTGAGCCGTCTTGGGGCTCTCTTGGGCTGTCTTGGGGCCCTCTTGGAGGCTTCTTGGGGTGTCTTAGGGCGGTCTTGGAGGCCTCTTGGGCCGTCTTGGAGCGTCGGAAAGCCTTAAAAGTGTAGTCGTGACAAATTACGGTTTACGAAGGGAATAGGGCAATGTTTGCGCCTGGGGACCTTCTTGGGACGCATCTTGGAGGCCTCTTGGGGCATCTCAGGGGCGTCTTGGGACGTCTGGAGGCCATCTGGAGCGGCTTGGAACGATCTGGAGCAGTATGGATGCTCTCTAGGGCCGTCGTGGGGCTCTCTTGGACCGTCTTGGGGCGCTCGTGGGTCGCCCTCGGGCGTTTGTAGGCTGGGGGGGGGCTATGAGGGACCGCCGACTGAAGTTGGGCCCCTGGGAGGGAATTCTGCAGGTTTTGACCAGACCCTGGCGACTCCTGCCAGGCACGCTGACAGAGTGGTCTCGCACGGCCCACACCGCAGGGCGGGAGCGGCCGGATCGAGGACGCCGGCGGCGCATCACGGGCCGTTCCTTGGCGCGTATGCCAGCGATCAAATGTCCGTCGGCCCATCCCGCCACCGTGCTTGGGTTTTTGGGTCGGAGTCCTCATGGACGCTTCCTGGGGTCTCGAGAGGGCTCTCGGGGGCCTCTGCGGGGGAGTTTAGGGGTCTCTTGGGGGCCATCCTGGGGGCTTTTCGGGAGCCTCTTGGGGCTCTCTTGGGGCCTCTTGGGGCTCTCTTGGGGCCTCTTGGGGGCCTCCTGGGGGCCTCTTGGGACCGAAAGCTCGAAATGTTCATTCGTGGGCCAGCGATTGTGCCAAACACTCTGTCAGAGAGGTCTCGCACGGCCCAACCCGCCGGCGGGAGCGGCCAGATCGAGGACGCCGGCGACGCATCACCGGCCGCTCCCTGGGAGTTTTTTGAAGAGGTGCGCAGCATCGAAAGTCGTGACGCGGCGCGTATGCCAGCTATCAAATAGCCGTCGGCCCATCCCGCCACCGTGCTTGGGTTTTGGGTCGGACGGAGTCCTCATGGACGCTTCCTGGGGTCTCTCGAGAGGGCTCTCGGGGGCCTCTGCGGGGCAGTTTAGGGGCCTCTTGGGTCCCAAGGGGCTTCTTGGAGACCTCTGGGGGCCCTCTTGGGGCCTCTTGGGGCTCTTTTGGGGTGTGTTGGGAGCCTCCAGGGGGCCGCTGAGGGCCTCCTGGGGGCCTCTTGAGCCGAAAGCTCGACATGTTCATTCGGGTACCCCTTCTGGGCCTCCTCTTGGGGCCATCCTGGGGCCCCTCTTGGGCCGTCCCGGGGGCCTCTTGGGCGGTCTTGGGGCCCTCTTGGGCCGTCTTGGGGCCGTCTTGGGGGCCTGTTGGGCCGTCCTGGGGCGATCTTGGGGGCCTCTTGGGCCGTCGTGGAGCGTGGGTAAGCCGAAATGGCGTGAACGTGAAAATCCTTCAAAAACCATTGAAAAATCAATGATTTTTGCTTCTCGGGGCTGTCTTGGGGGTGCTCTTGGAGCCCTCTTGGGCCGTCTTGGAGGCGTCTTGGGCCGTCTGGAGGCCATCTTAGGCGTCTTGGAGCGATCTGGAACCGTCTGGAGGCTCTCTTGGACTGCTCGGGACTCTCTTGGACCGGCTTGGGGCGCCCTTGGGTCGTCCCCGGGCAGTTTGAGACCTTGAAGGGGGCCGGCGGCAGAGTGGGGCCGGCGGCAGAGTGGGGCCCCCTCGGAGGGATTTTCAGGAGGTTTTTGACCAGGCACTGGAGAAGGGGGCCAAAGACTGTGCCAGACACTGTGTCAGAGAGGTCTCGCACGGCCCAACCCGCAGGGCGGGAGCGGCCGGATCTGAAGGGCTTCGCCCTCTGCCGCCGCCCCCCCTCTTGTCATATTGCTTGCGTGGCCGCGCTTGGATGGTAGGTTTGCTGGGTTTCTTGTCGGTTGGCTGGTTGGCAACGCGGAGGATTGGCTTGAAGTTTAAATTGATGGTTGGCAGTTGGTTTTGGCCGCTTGCTGGCTGTCTGGTTGAGTGATGGTCGCATCGGGAGCGTGCTTCCATTGTAACTTCCGAGGCTTCGGGGCTTCGGGAGAGCGCACCCCTAGCTATTTAGGAATGTTCGTAGCGTTGGGTCCAAGGCCGACTTCTGAGGAAACGACGGGGGGACCGAAAAGCGCTCCCGGAACACATGAGCACGTATCCCAATGCAGAAACAACAGTCTCCTGCGCTGGAGAGGGGGTTGCGCTATTGGGCAGCCTCCGTGGGGTGGGCTTGTGGCCTCGGACTCGTAACAGTTGTATTGCTCATTGCGTTGGCGCCTCGGTGGCGCGAATCTGGTGTAGTGCTTGAGGGGTTGTGGCGATGTGAGCGCGAACCTGGCGTAATGTGTAGGAGATTTTAGCCTCGGGAGCGCGAGCGGGACATTATCTCCAAAGGGATCATTGTTTGGTCACCGTGAGCCTGGCGTCATTTATGAGGGACTGTGGCCTGGGGAGTAGGAGCCTGGTGTACTTTACGAGTGGTTTTCGCTTGGGGAGCGCAAGCCCGATATAATTTTGTAGCGGTTGTGGCCTCGGGAGCGTGGCAGCGCGAATCTGCTGTATTTGACGTGTTTCAGGGCACCCCCAGGAATTGAGAACCCCGAGCGGGGGTGGGGAAAATGCCCTTGTTTGGCCCCCTCACCCTTGCGGACGGTTGTAAAACTATTGCACAAGTGGAGCTTGAAACTACAGAAATTGTATTCAGAACTTGGAACTAGAACTGGCGCAAGGAACTGGACATCTTGGTCCTCGCAGCCTCTTCGCCCTCAAGAGAACCGGCGGATTGGAGAACATCTCTAGCTGAGACATAAAGCATCGTGGTACGATCACTCTTTTGCCATACGAAGGCTTCGTAGTAGGACGGCACGAACACAAGGACGGTCGGCCATTGCTCAAAAAAACCCGGACAGCGATGTGCATGCTGGGGGGGGAGGAGAAGGTGGGCGGCCCTGCCTCATGGTGCCCTGCAGTTCTTGGGGCCGTGGCGGAACAGACGCGGGCAAGCCTGGAGCGTGGTCCGATGGGGCACGATACGGGCGCGAAGCACGATTCCCCCGAGCGGATTTGCGTAACATTACAAGCTATTGGGCACCTGAGCGGAGGAGGAGGAGGAGGAGGGGGAGGAGGAGGAGGAGGAGGAGCAGCAGCAGCAGCAGCACCAGCAGCAGCAACAGGAGGAGCAGGAGGAGCAGCAGGAGGAGGAGGAGGAGGCGGCGCAGGAGCAGCAGAGCAGGAGCAGCAGGAGCAGCTACAGCAGGAGAAGGACGAGGATGAGGTACAGCAGTATGGGTCCTGCACTCCGGCACTGCCGGATGGCAGTGTTCATCAGGACGTGATAGCTTACCCGAGCGGCCGGCCAGGGGTCTCCATGAGCACCTGCTGCATCCAGCTCCCGACGGCCCTACCTGTGAGGGCAGCCGCTCAGGATTCGTGGCCTGGACGAGGATGGGAGGAAGCTCAATCCCGAGCGGGATCTTCCCACCGCTTCCAAACTGCCCCGCCCTATCCTTGTTCCTTATTAGAATATACCCCCACCTACCTCGTATTCCGGCCGATAGCGGCCCAATCTGGGACCTCCCATCCGGACTGTAAAACAAACAATGCAAAGTGGCCGTTTTTCTTCTCAACATCGTCTTTCTTGTCGTCGACGATGCGAAAAGCGTGGCAGGAATGGGACGCGGCGCACATCGCGCGCGGCAGTCCATCTGGGCCCGCCCATCTTGAGTGTAAAAAATCAATACGAAGTCTTCGTTTTTTCCTCTCATGGCCTACCTTGTCGCCGACGGTGCGAAATATGTGGCAGCAATGGGACGCGGCGCACATATGGGACGCGGCGCACATCGCGCGCGGCCGTCAATCCGGGCCCGCCCATCCTGACTGTAAAATATCCATACAAAGTCTCCGCTTTTTCCTCTCAGCATGGCCTGCCTTGCCGCCGACAGTGCGAAATATGTGGCAGGAATGGGACGCGGCGCACATCGCGCGCGGACGTCCATGCGGGCTGCGGGCCCTCCCATCCTGACTGTAAAAAGCAATGCAGAGTTGCCGTTTTTTTTCATCATGGCCTGTCTTGTCGTCGACGATGCGAAATGCGTGGCAGGAATGGGGCGCGGCGCACATCGCGCGGGGACTTTTGGGGCAACCCCAAGGCGGGAGGGGCCACCTTATTTGTCAGAAACAATGCCATGCTGATTTTCCCTGCCCACATAGCTGTTCTTGTCGTCCACCCCGCAAACGTGCATGGCAAGAATTGGGCGCGGCCCCCTCCCCCCCCGCTCGAAGTGAATGAAATGACCTTCCCGCTTGGGCGCCGAGCGAAATTTTCTCAAAGTTGCGCTCCCGCTATGGCTCGGCGCACGTTTTTAGCTCGCCAATTCATTGGGCGCCGGGGCGTTCCAGGAGGCCCTGGGGTGACGAATGCCTGGGAGGTTTTTGCTTGTCCAGGCTCTTGGAGGGCCTCCTGAGGCTCCCCGCGGTTTCTTGGCGGCGTCTGCGGCCGCCTGGAGGCCATCTTGGGCGTCTTGGAACGATCTTTCGGCGACTCAAGGCCCCTCGGATCGTCTCGGGGGCGTCACGGCTCTGTTGGGGCGTTCCTGGGGCGCTCTGGGACCCGGAAGTCTGCGCTCTGGGACCTGCGACATTGAAATGCCCGCGCAGCCCCCAGATGTGCCATCACTGTTTCTTATGTTGTGGGAGGGCGGGTGGGAATGGGCATGCCATGCTTGACTCGCTCGAGCTGGCTAGCTTGATTCTCAACCAGACCCGGACCTTCCTTTCCCCGTACCCCTCCTCCCCCAAAGCCGCATACCATCCCGATGTCAACGATGGGCCACATGTTGCAGCTACTATTCGGGCCTGAAGCTCCACTAGGGACACCTCAGTCAGCGGATAGGACATGATTCGTCGCAGTGGGAATGGATGGGTGGGAGGAATAGGACTGCAGATGTGGCGCGAGCGTTCCCAGTTTGCCCTTTCCCCACTTCCTGTCAAGCCCCCCCCCCCTCTCCCCTTTCCTCGGGGGTGGACAGACCTCCTACCCTGACACGTCGACTAGTGAATTGTCCGTTTTCGGTTCTCGAGAGGGCGCCGCGGCCGTTATTTCCCAGGCTTGCGCCCGCCAGGTTTGGGCCCGAGGTCGTTTTCACTAAACCACGTTTTGCTAAAGGGAGGTCTGTCCACCCCCGATTTCCGCTTGATTCGCCTCTCCCCCCGCTCGCCCCCTCCCCTTCCTTGCCCCGCCACCCTGGCACCCCTCCATTTCCAGCTCCGAGTTCCCCACCCCCTCTTCATACCCCCTCGCACAGGCTGCCAATGGAAATGGGGTTGAGGGCCTAGGCACCTTTCTCCCTGATGGAGTCGTTCTCCTCTTCCTCCTCCTTCACCCACCCTCCTTTTCTTCCTCCTCCTCCTCCTCCTCCTCCTCCTCATCATCATCATCATCATCATCATCATCATCATCATCATCATCATCATCCCTTCTCCTTCATCTTTCTTCGCCGTTTCCTCCTCCTCCTCCTCCTTCTCTTCCTCCGCCTCGTGCCCATTTCAAAAATCCGGTCACAATCGGTTCGGTTCCCAGACCCCCCTCCAAGGGTCCATCCTGGTCAGGAAGTCGGTTTCTGACGCCCCCAGAAACCGAAACTGGCCTGGCCCCAGGGAGGCCAGAATCGACGGAAAAGCTCGCTCCCGTAAGGCCATCGAGAAAGAGCTGCTGCAGATCGCAGTGATTGCTTCTGACACGAGGTTTCTCGCAGCAGTTTCATTGGTCCCTTACCGAAGGACCAGCTTGCCAAGCACGCCTGTCGCACGCCTTCGGGCCGCTCCCCTGGGCGTTGGCAGCTGTTCACTGTTCGCGGGTTCGTGATTGTTGTTCGCGTCCCCCTCCTCATCCTCCTTCTCCTTGGGATGCAGCTTCTGGGAAGTTCAATTCAGCATCGGCGCTGGTATATCCGTGGTCGGGAAGCGGCCGAGTCTGGCATAAGTCCGCTGGGTTCCGCCCGGTCCCCCGAAGGCACGTTCAGTTCCTCCGGCTTTGATGTCGGGTCCAATCTTGGCCAATCTGGCTCAGCGGCTCCTTCATCTAGTTTGGTAGCCCCTCATCGTTCTTGCGAAGGCCTTTCAGGAGCTGCCTCCCAAACCCCTCCCTCCTCCTCCCCTCCTCCACCTCCTCCTCCGTCTCCTTCTCCTCCTCCTCTTCTTCTCCTCCTCCTCCTCCTCTCCTTCTCCTCCTCCTCCTCCTCCTCCCCCTCCCCCAGGCGAAGAGGAGGCTGACGCTGGGGGCATCCCTGGAGGTCCAGCAGCAGCTCGCCGAGCAGCACAGCCTGTCTCAGGACGCCCTGTCCTCGACCGAGGGGGGTCCGAGCCAGCGGCTCTCCCGTGGGCCGTTCGCGGACGACCATGACGAGGACCGCCGCGCAGAGAACTGTGCTCCTGGTCTTGGAGGCAGCCCACCCCTCCAGCGCGCTGTGAGTACAGCACCTCGATTGCCGACCCATTCCGCCCCCTCTGGGCCTCCGAGCGGCTCGCCGCCGCCGCGGTTGCGACCCCCTCGAGATTCTGGTAAGGATGCACCCCTGGACGGGTCTGGCGGTCGATGTCGGACGGGGAAACAAAACCGGACCCGCGACATTTCGGAACACACCGTGCGGAGGTGTGTCGCCGTCGTCGGCCTCTGGGGGGCCCTCGCCGGGCCCAAGGGCCGCCAGAAGAACGACCCATGAGAAGGCGCTGGCCCTCGGGAGAGGGCTGGGGCTCCTGGCGACCCCGCATCCAGCAACAGGTCAGAGCCCCGAATCATCAGGGCTGGGGGCGGTCAGGGGTAACTACAAATTCGTGCCTCGCAGGCCCAAACTGGAATTACCCTGGACCGGAGTCATCCTGGATAACTCGGACGTCCAACCACTCCCGAATCATCGGGGCTGGGGGTGGTCAGGGGTAGCTGCTGGTTCGCGCGGCTGGAGTAATCCTGGATAACTCGGGCGTCCAATTTGGACAGCGGATCTCTCGGGTTCCGTCGGGGACAGGGACATCACCACGAAGCAATGTATGTAGCCGCCACCGCGCGCAGTATAGTGGGCGCTCTTCGGGATATGTTCGTGAGCGTGGGGCGTTCAACAAAATATGTGCACTACGGTTCGGGCGAAGGCCTCAGCGGCCGCTGGCTCCCCTTCCCCTCCCCCTCCTTCTCCTCCTCTTGTGGCGCTGATCAACCTTGCGTGCGCCCTCCAGTCCAAGCCGGTGAGGGAGTTCTTGCAGTCCTCTCCATGGTGGAGGCGGAGGTGGTTCCAGTGCGCCACCCGCTAGGGGAGGAGCTCCCTGCCAGTCTCAGCTATGATATGTACACGCATGGATAGAGATATGTGTGCGGCTGCCCACCCCGTTTCCTCTAGGGTCTGTTCCTTCCATGCCCAGAGGACAGCGTGATGCGAGCGATGGGCAACATGCGGCGCCTGCTGCTCCCAAGAGACAGCGAGGCTCGCCGGCGTGGGCACCGAGGGGGTGTCTGGAGAGGGCCAGGGGGGTGGGGGGGCTCATAAGAAGGCAGACCCTCCATACCTAGACATGCTTGCGTCGTGGGAATAATGACGACGGACGGTTTTTGGCCGTTTTCGGCCTTCAGGGGTCCTCGCTGGGCCCAGGACCGTCAAAGAACATCCCAGAGCGCAAAGCCGGCCCCAGGGACAGGGTCGGCACTTCCGAGGACCCCGATTCAAGCAGAAGCAATACACGGATCTCTGAGCCCATAGTCGAAAGTTCTTATTGATTAAGGAAGGGGTGGCAAGCGTGAAAACGGGCCGCGGCCAACCCCCCGTGGCACCACCCCCCGAATCCGACCCCCCCCCCCCGCACCCGTTCGGACGTTCTCAGGCCAACCCCCCTTGCACGCCAACCATGGAGGCTTTTTGATCCCAACCCGCTTCTGCATGCCAACACTGGGCCAACACCCCTGGGCACACAGCGAGAAACGCCGCCCCCCTCCCCCCCCCCTCCACCCCACCCCACCCACCCGCCACCCCCACGGACGCGCCACGGCCAACCCCTGCGGGCGGCATCCCAAGGGGGGAGGTGGGGCCGATTTAGTGAGGAGTCAAAGTCGGCTTTCTGAGAAGCCCTGTGAGGCTGCCCGGCGGTCGCGGGCGGGAACGATGTCCGTGTCGCACGGCCTCGCAGGGCGGCTCTGCGCGGATGCCCGGCCCGGAACGCCACAGGGTCGCGCACCCACGGGATCGCGCCCCAGTGCCCGTCGCTCGCGAGCAGGGCTCTCAAGAGCCCGCCCTGCCGCCTCAACGCAGACGGCCGCCCCCCCCTCTCCCTCGCCTGTGCCCGCCCCTCCCCTCCCGTTTGGCTCGCGGGTCGAGAGGTGACGGCGTGGGCAGAGGCCCCAGACCAGTCGCCCCTGGAGTTCGCGCGGCTGCAAGCCGAGCTCCGCGCGCACCTGCAAAGTTGCGCCGTGATCCTCAGCGACCTCCTGCCCCCCGACGCAAAGTTCGGCCGCCCGCGGATGGAGCTGGCGAGGACGCTGCCAGAGGGTACCCGTACACTTCGAAGAAGAAGAAGAATAAGACAAAGAAAAGACAAAGGAATGGCATACACATTAACGTTCGCAGCTCCGTGCGGATCTCTTGGATCGGCGCTGGGCTCCCTGGTGGTGCCTCCGGCGCCGCCCCTAGCGCGTTCCGCGCGAGAGGGAGGGTCCAAGAGATCCGCGCGGACCTCCAAAGTTTATGTTTAGACCGTCCCGATTGCTTTTGCGCACCATCACCATGGCTGACCAGGGCCACCCCGAGGCCCTTCAGGGACAGCGTATCGGACCCTCATGGCCCGAGGCCAGGATGGCAGCATGTGCACCGCCCCATGAGCTTCGGGTGGCACTGACAGGGCAGGGCGCCCCATACCTCCGACGCGCCGCTTTTTTGTTTTCGCTGCGTAGGCTCCAGAGGTCTCCACCCCTTCCCTGGGACCTGGCTTTCCATCCTGAGTAGTTGTTTCTGGCTGACGGCTGACGGTCCAGGGGCCCAGAGAAGGCTCCCAGAACCCGAGCGTTGCACCACAAGTCTGGCGCCGCGATCTCTCCGCGGCGCGAGGAGGTCCTGGGGTGACTGTGGTGCACCCGGGGCCCTCTGCGCCAAGGATGCTGGAGGGCATGCAGTCGCTGCCCGAGGACCCGACGGAGCCCGAGGAGCGCGAGGCCTGCCGATGCCTCGCGGACGCCGCGGGCTGCCTGTGGGGCCTCTTCTGGGAGGCGTCGGCGGGCCCGGAGCCGGTGGCACTCCCGCCGTCGCCGGAGGTGGACGAGCTGCGCCTCATGCTGGATCTCGGCTGCGGCAGGTCCGTGCCGTGGTGACCCAGCGGCGGTGCTCTAGGCCTCCTACTATCTGCAATAGGATGGGCACTCGCGCGAGTCTTGTGCGGAGGCCTTTTTCGGGGGACCTCGTGCGCCTTGTGCAGGGCTCTTGCGCTTGCCCTTGGGCTTGGACCTCTGCTGGTCAAGCGCTGCTCTGCACAAGACCCCTTGTGCGCTTTGTGCGCCGGCACTCTTCGCTCCTGCACTCTTTCTTCTAACACTGGTAAATGGGTGTAGGGGATCGGAGGATCGCGCCGCGTCGCGGATGCATCGACGATGTAATTCTAGATGTATCCCGACTTGTTTCTCCACGCGGATTCATCAATCGTCGGTACATCGGCGATGCATCGGCGATGCGGCCCGATTCTCCGACCCCATCTACTCGGACCCCGTCTGGGAGGCCTCTAGATGCCATCGCGGGCGTTCAAGGTTAAGCGCAGCCAGCGGCTCACAAGCGGCCGTTGTCGAATGATCTGCGTTGTCGTAGCGAACGCCACGATCGTGAAAGGTCGGACGCGATCCGCGTGGTGTCGCAAGGGACAGCACCTGGGCCGTCACGACACGAGCCTGCGGCACAGGGAGAGTGACCCTTCGCCGGATTGACACCTGGTGCGCGGCTTCTGGGGGGCGCTTGGGGGTGGGTATGGTGCTTAGATCACCGTGGTGGTTGCTAAGGGGACAAGGGGGGTTACAAGTGGATGCTCAGATGGGTTATGTCTGGCCCAATATTGCCTAACCTGGCTTAGGTGGGTTAGAGGTACCCAGATTGTTTTTATGGTGTTTTAGTGAGCTCAGCCCACTTATCCCGGATCTGTACACACACCCGAAGCCACGCAGGGTACTTGCAGCCCACTCAGAAGCTAGATGAGGCCAGATCTGATCCGCATTCGCATCCACTTGTAGCCCCTATCCACTAAGCGCCCCCAGCGCGGTAATCCCAGTGGGTGGGTGGGATGAGGGGTGAGGTGGGGGGGGCAAGTCCAAGCACGCAGTCCGCTGCTGTCGCAGCAGACGCATCGAGCGGCAGGCCGCGCACCAGGGGTCACCCTGCCTGGGACCACTCTTGCGCGCAGCCGAGGAGTGGGCGAGCTGTGACGTGGACGCCCTCAAGCTTGCGACAGGCGCTGACCCCCCCCCCCCTCCAACACCCCCGCCAACGGGCCCCTCCTGGAGCGCGTTCTGTTCAGGATCTCGACTCGAGGCAGATCAAAAGCCCGTGGCAGCGAAGAGCCCCCCCCAACGCCCAGAGCAGAACATCGACCGATCGAGCTCTCGGGCTAAGCTTGGGGCTACTTCGCATCGGCTAGAGCTGAGTAGCGTTACAGTGGGAGCCCATGCCAAGAGGCACCATACGTTTTGCCAGTGAACCTTGGATTTGTCTGGTTGATGTTCGAATTGATAGCTTGCAGATGTGGCGAAGAAACCGAAGCAGAGGGGGGGGTACCTTGAGTATCTTGACGCTGAGATGCTTTACGCGAGCCACCCATCAACCGCCTGAAACTGGGTTGCCCTGAGTTTCCGCTGGCAGCCGCTAAGCGAGACACCAAACGAAATCAATGCGATTTTCATGGCTGGGTCTCTTGCGATGGGTCACTTGCGGACTGGTCTTGGCTGTAAAGCCCACCGGGGGAGGAAGGGGGCCTCAGGCGCGACAGTCGGCGCACTTCGCCGCGAGGCCTCGCCGGGCCCCGGCGCCGTGAGCCCGCCGGCGCCGCCGCCGAGGTCGCCGCCGAGGGCGCCCCACCAGCCGCTGGAGTCGCTGCTGCGCGGCGCGGGACTGTCACACTCCCGCCGTGGCGGCCGGCACAAGGGGCCGCAGGGGGCGGACTTTGGCTTCCGCCCCGACGGCGGCGCCGAGGAGTCGCTGGAGAAGTGGTCCCTCTTCAAGGTCCTGGGCGACGTTAAACTCGTTAACAAGTCATGGAGAAGTGGTCCCCCTTGAAGGTCCTGGGCGCTCAGTGGTCCTTGGGAACGACAGTGCTGTTTGTCCCCACATCCTAAGTGGGCGTCTTGTTTTCTCTGGATACTCCGCGCAGGAACGAGACCCCCCCGCACAACATCATCATCATCATCATCATCATCATCATCATCATCATCATCATCATCATCATCATCACCACCACCATCATCATCATCATCATCATCTTCATCATCATCATCATCACCACCATCATCATCAGCATCAGCATCATCATCATCATCACCATCATCATCAACATAATCAGCAGCATCATCAGCGCCATTACCAGCATTAGCATCATCCTCATCATCATCCTCATCAACATCATCATCACCATCGCCATCACAATTACCATTATCACCATCATCATCACCATCATCACGATTACCATCGCCATCGCCATCACAACCACCATCGCCATCACCCTCACCATCACCGTCCATCGTCGCCTTCACCATCATTATCAGTATCAGTATCAGTACCAGTATCATCATCATCGTCATCATCATCAGTACCATCACTCACACAGTCATGTTGCCCATCTGCCCGGGTCATCCGATCGAAGCGAGGCCTCGTCTGGTGAGTCAATGGCGAAGAAGTCTCAAGCTGGAGCCCCTTCCTTATGGGGCCCGCACTCCATGTTTCCAATCCGAGCGGGTCACCGGCAAACGCTACCAGGCATAGCACTTGAGCACCCCAATGAGGCAAACAGTGAGGATGTCTCGAGCGGGGGCTTCGTTTGTGAGGGAATTGAGAAAAATGCGGGAAGCCCCTCCTCCTGGGGTCCGCAGCGCATGTAGGTAATTCGAGCGGGTCATCGGCATACTTGGTCCAGGCATAGTATACTTGAGCACCCCAAGGGAGCAAACCGTGAGGATACCTCGAGCGGGGGCTTCGTTGGTGAGGGAATTGCGAGAAAGTCTCAGGCGGGAGCCACTTTCTTGTGGGGCCCGCGTTTCATGTTGGTAATTCAAGCGAGCGAGCGAGACATGTTACCAGGCGCGGCGCTATAGCACCCAAAGGGGGCAAATCGTGAGGATGTCTCGAGCGGGGGCTTCGTTGGTGAGTGAAATTCGAGAGAGTCTCAAGCGGGAGCCCCCTCCCAATGGGGCCCGCATGTCATGTTGATAATTGTATGGTTCAGTGCCCCGAGGCGTGGATGTGGAGAAAGATTCGAGCGGGAGCCTCGTATATGAGTGAAACAGCCCAGGAGTCTCAGACGGGAACTCCCTTTGTAGGTGGCCGCCAGATCACGTTAGTGCAGCGCGCCAAGACACCATTCTCGGGGTTTCAACGCCCCGAATGAACTTGACTGGTACGTCCTGACAAGTTTGAATCGTGACTTCAACACCGCGAATCAAAGTAACGGTTGCGCCCTGACAGTCCAGAACCGTTCAACAAACATTCTTGCGGCACGTTCGCCATACTTGTAAATGTTTAAGACGAGTGTGCGCGGCGCTGAGGCGAGAGCCACGTTTTGAGAACGACCCGCCCTCAATCCGTAGAGCTGTTGCACATTTTTAAGACGAGTGTGCACAGCGCTAAGGCATAAGCCACATATTGACAACGGCCAGCCTTCAATCCGTGTAGTTTCTGCATTTGTTTGAGACGACTGCGCGCGGTACTAAGGCGAGAACCATATTTTGAGGACGCCCGCCCTCCATCTGTGAAGCTGCTACCAATTCAGGGAATCTCGGGCGAAACGCCCCGCCTGCCCTTCCGATTGGCTTCGCGTACGACAGGGAGGAACTCTTACAAGGCAAAGGAATGGAGGAGCAAGAGGAGGAGGAGGAGGAGGAGGAGGAGGAGGTGGAACAGCAGCAAAGCAGGGGGAGGAGGAGGAGAAGGGGGAGGAGGAGAAAGAGGAGGAGGAGGAGGAGGAGGAGGAGGAGGAGCAGGAGGAGGACGAGGAGGAGGAGGAAGAGGTGGGACTAAGAGGAGGAGGATGGGGAGGAGGATGAGGAGGGGGGAGGAGGAGAAGGAGGAGGAAGAGGAGGAGGAGTAGGAGGAAGTGGGAATGAAGAGGAGGATGGGGATGAGGATGAGGATGTGGATGAGGAGGATGAGGAGGAGGAGGATGAGGAAGAAGAAGAAGAAGAAGAAGAAGACGAACTGGAGGAGGAGGCCGAGCAGGGGGCGGGAGGAAGGCCCCCGCCAGAACGAGGAGTAATGGGCGACGGGGACACAGGAAGAGGGCCCCCACTTCTCACGAGGACGTCGACAAGGGTTATTACAAAACCACTTAGGAGGATTCTCGTGCGGGGCCCCACCGTCAGAGTAAAACTCCGTCTCCAAAAGATCTAGATCACTGTAGAGGAACAGCGGCTAAACTAAACGAAAAGCCTGGGCACATACAGTTCAGCGACTTTTCTTAGGCGGGGATTGATCCATAACCCCCGCCTGGGGGATCGATCTCAGGGGACCCCGGCACGCGGCGAAACGGTCGGGCCCCTGGGGGCCATGAAGTATCCATATCTACCGCCCGCTGGGGTCCAACGACGTTGGTCCCACAGGCGGCGAATATGAACATACCCCCGCCTCGTTTTCTTGCCGTCGTGATGAAAATTACAGCGGGAAGGCTTCGGGTAATTTTGGGCCTCTTGGGGACATGGCGGCTCGGGACGGCAGGTCGCCCCCGGGGCAAGGGGCCCAGGCTTCTGGGCTTGCGGGCGTGAGCAGATCACAGATTTCACGGCGCCGCAGGGTCTGAGAGCGGGGTCGGCTGCGCGAGTAGTCGACGCTCGCGCGTGAGAGCTGCCCGCGCGATGGCCGCGCCATAGTCTGGCGCCCAGCTTCTCCGCGCGGAGTGCCGCGCCTGCGTCCCGAGAGTGGAGATCCGCGCAGGGCCGCACCGTCGACGTGCGTAGGGCGTAGGGCAGCTTGTTTCTTCGCCCTCGATCAGGGGCAGCGTTCGGGGAGCGCGTCGACCGCTCGTCGCCCAGTGATCGCCGACACGGGCCCGAGTGGATTCGCGACCGGGGGCATATCGCCGAAAGCTCGGTGTTTCTCTCCCTGGGCTGGTCCCCTCTCTGTCGTTATCCCTTCATCTGGGGCGATGTTAGCAGACTCGTGGCGGGAGTGTTTGGAACAGTGTTTCTTCTGGGCACGAGATGCAGCTCTTGACTCAGAGTTGCCCCCTGGGGAAGGGGCCCAGACCTCTCGGGGTCTTCCTCCTGCTCCTCCTCCTCCTCCTCCTCCACCTCCTCCTCCTCCTCCTCCTCCTCTCCCTCCTCCTCCTCCTCCCCCTCCTCCTCCTCCTCCTCCTCCTCCTCCTCCTCCTCCTCCTCGTTGTGAGCAAATCAAGAATCACAGCCTCGGAGGCCTGGGAACGGGGTCGGCCGCGCGAGCACCGTCGACGCTCGCACGTGCGCGCTGCGCGCGGCTGTCGCGTGATAGTCCCGCGCCCAGCTCCTCCCCGCGGCTCGCCGCGCTGGCGGCCCGAGCGTTAAGGAGCCGCGCATGGCCGCGCCGTCGACGTGCGTAAGGCAATGCGTTTCTTTGCCTTCTCGGGCGTTGAGGGGGAGCCCGCCGAGTCAAGCGGGCTGAGGGAGCCTGCGCCCGCTCACTCGACATGGGCATTCGAGTGGGCCGGTGCAGTGACCCATGCAGGTTTGCTGGCCGACGTGCGCATTGCCAGATACATTCGCTTGATTCGGACGTCGATCTGCTATCCCGTCCAGGGCCACTCGGAATGCAGTGCCAGGCGCGCGTGGAGTGCCCCTGGAAGCTGTCACGAGATGGCGTTTTGCGGAAGGGTGCTCTGTCGATCCTCGACCTCCGAGGTGAGCAAGAACCCGAGCCCCACCCGCGATGGCGCCGGCGCCGCGGGGCGGCCAGAGCCGGGCCGCGACGCGGCCGGGAGGGCAAAGGAGGACCCGAAAGCACAGCGGTACCTGCAGCTCGCGGGCAACTCCGACTTCCGGGACTACGTCTCGGGGCTGGCCGCCAAGGCCGCCGTGGGAGAGGAAAGGGACAGGGCAGACTTTTTACCCCCCGGCGACAGCGGGAGTTCGCGGGGGTGGGGGGGGGAGGGAGCTGGCCTCGTCACGATTCGCGCCGGCGCTGTCTGGGAGTGCGGAAGAGTGGCTGCTTCCAAGGCGGCGCCAGCGCGAATCGTGGCATGACCATGGGGGGGGCGCGGCGGGTCACGGGCGTTAGTCGTGGGCGTTCGTGTCAGCTTGTGATTACAGTCAAAGCGCCTAGTAAGGACGCGCGCCTTCATCTAGGGTACCCTTGTGTCCTTGCCTCTGCGGCCCGTCCTTTGCCGTTTTCACTGGTCGCCCGCAGCCCACAAAATCCCAACTTCAGCCTCCAAGGGTCTTGGGTCCTTACCACGCGTCCTTAATATACGTTTTGACTGTAACGAATGAACCCCTCCTTCGGTGGCAGAGCATGGCAGCCTTGTAAACCTTCGCAATTCCGTCTTCAGATGCGTTAGCGTCGATTCGCCTCGGGTAATCGATGGAATAACGCCGACTTAGCTTCGATTCGTGTAGATGTAGCGTCGATCAGCGTCGACTGGTGTCGATTCGTGTCGATTCGAAAGAGCCACGAAGATGGTGTGGGAGTCTCCTACGAGTTGCCACCGACCGCCCCCCATGGCTGATGAATAGACCTCGCGGAGCGCGGAACTTTTTCTATCGCGCGCGCCAGGGGTCGTCGCGGGTGCCCTCCGAGGTTAGCGTGCCCACACACACACAAACACGCACGCACGCACGCACGCACGCACGCACGCACGCACGCACCCACGCACCCACGCACCCACGCACCCACGCACCCACGCACGCACGCACGCACGCACGCACGCACGCACGCGCCCGCACGCGCCCGCACGCGCCCGCACGCGCCCGCACGCGCCCGCCCGCACGCACGCACGCACGCACACGCACGAGCTCACACACACACTCACACACACACACACGCACAACACACACACAACAGACACAACGCACACAACACAGAACACCCAACGCCCAACACAACACACAATACACAACACACACAAACACAAACACACAATACACAGACTTTTTGCGTCGGCGGCTGGGCAGAAGGCGACTGCTCTGGCGGATAGGCCACAGGGGACACGCTGTATGCAAATTAGGGCCGCAATGCACGGAAGGAGGAGGAGGAGGAGGAGGAGGAGGAGACGGGAAGAGAGGGCGGCAGGCTTCTCAGAGCTGCCGGCTGCGGCGGAGGGAGCGCTGGGGGCGAGAGCAGCGCCGGCGGCACAGACACACACACAGCAGTCTCAAGACGATTGCCTTTTGTGTCGGAGCTGTAGGAGGGACCGTATACATCCGAAGCGAAGTGGTTCCCCGCTTTCAGGCTGTCTACTTACGTATCCCCTGTCGTCGCCGCCGCCGTCGCCGTCGTCTTTGCCGTCGTCGTTGTGATTGTCGTCGCCGTCGTCGCCGTCGTCGTCGTCTTTGTCGTCGTCGGCTACAGTTGGCCCACGCAGCAATCCCCCATTGGATCATCCGGCAGTGATTCGTCGTCGTCGTCGCCGTCGACGTCGCCGTCGTCCGTCGTCGTCGTCGTCGTCGTCGTCGTCGTCGTCGTTGTCGTCGTCGTTGTCCTCGTCGTCATCGTCGTCCACGCCGGAATTGCGCAGCACTTCCCCCCGCCGTCGGCCCTGTCGATGTCGTCTTTGAGAACAGCGCTACACCGGGCCTGCGCAACACTCCCCGTCAAAGCCCAGTTGCAGTGCGTCGTCGTCGTCGCCGTCGTCGTACATTAGAGTTGGCCTACGCAGACCCCCTCTCAACGGCGCATCCGCATAGCCTTGTCGTTCGTCGTCCGTCGTCGCCGTCGTCGGCTACAGCGGGCCTGCGCAAACCCCACGCTTTTAGGGCATCTGCAGCACGCGCGCGCGCGTCGTCGGTCGTCTCGTCGTCGGCCTTCGTGTCGTCGGTTTGTCGTTGTTGTCGTCGGGTGCAGCGCTGCAGGGGGCCTACGCAGCCCCCCCCACTAGGGCTCATCCGCAGTGCGTCGTCGTCGTCGTTGTCGTCGTCGTCGTCGCTGCCGTCGTCGTCGTCGTCGTCGTCGTCGTCGTCGATGATAGTTGGCCTACGCAGCGCTTCCCCCCGGTGCACCCGCACAGCCTTGTCATTTGGTGTGTCGTCGCCGTCATCGAGTGCAGCAGGCCTGCGCAGCACACGCCCCACCCCCACCTCACATGGGGCATCGGCAGCACGCGCGCGCTGTCCCGTCGTCGGCCTTCACGTCATCGGCCCTCCCGTCTTCGGCCCCGTCGTCGTCGTCGTCGTCGTCGTCGTCGTCGTCGTCGTCGAGTACATCGCTACAGCGGGCCTACGCACCCCCCCACCCAATGGGCATCTGCAGTGCGTCGTCGTCGTGCTCGTTTACGCAGGACTTGCGCAGCTTCTCCCCTTTCCCCCATGGGGAATCCGCAGCGCGCGCGAGGTCGGTCGTCCCATCGTCAGCCCTGTCGCCGTCGTCGTCTGCTACAGCGGGCCTACGCGGAACCCCGAGTTCACACAGCATATTGTAGCGGAGCGGGGCGAGAGGGGAAAGGCGGGGAAGGAAAAGAAGAAACCACCGCCGCTTGCTTTTGCCGTTTTCCTCTCCGTTGTCTTCCTCTGTTTGCAGCTACGTGAGCACCGCCCGCCAGATCTGAGGCGTTTGTCCCTTCTGCCTCCTTCTTCCTTCAGGTTTGTAGCCATGTTGGCCCAACCGCCCCGCTGTAGCATAGGCGAAAGGGGTGCCACTCGCGTCGCGCGCGTCGCTCTCCAGCTGGCGGCCCAGTGTCGGAGCTAATCGCTGGCGCTGCCGTGATACGTTCCATTTCCGCGGGCGCCACGCCGCCATTCGCCCGAGCAGGGGGGGTATTTTCCAAATCGTGTGTTTGGCTTGACGTTGTGTGTCGCAAGCCGACACATACGCGAATAATCAGACACGAACCCGAAGGTTTCCAGTTCGTGTGACAAATTATATGCGCATACGTGTTGGCCAACGCGTTCACAACATACTGTGTGCTAGCATACGAGGTGGTGCATACTGCAATCTACGTGGTGCAACTTACCCTGCCGAGTTTGAAGTTGTCAGATCCACTGCTCGCGCGATAGTCCCACTGGCCCACCCGCACCGTGGTCTGCAAAACTCATGCGGCGGCGATTGCGATGACTGAGCGGCGCTGGCCAGCCCATCGCCACGGCCGCGCCAGCGCGCACGCTCGTGCGCAAAGCGGCCAGCTAGGTTGGCGCGATCGACGCGGCCGCGGTGGCGCCGACCGCTGGGCACTTCCCAGCGGGCGCCTCAGTGCAAGTTGGCGACTTGGGCGGGCGCGGTTTCACCGGCATACGCGATAATGATCGTAGAGGTGATGGTGACGATGCTGATCACGCCTGCGACAATGACAGTGTCTTCGCGTCGTAGATGAAAGTGCTGGAATGAGGTTGGCATGCGCGCGCGGCCGGCGCGCGAAACTCGCCCGCATGGTGTTATTTGATACGGCTCGTGTCCCCCCCCCCCACACACGCGCACCAGGGCGTTCGAATGATTTCGGCATGCAGCGCGGGAGGCCCGCTTGGTCGAAAAACCGATGGCTCTTCTCGCACGATATATCGTTTCGGGTCGCTCGATTCTGAAATCCTTGCCGAGCTCAAGGTTTTTGAAACATTCGGCATGCGCGCGACGGCGCGCGCGTGTGCATGTCGTCCCGTGTCCTGCAGAGGATCATTGAGGTGTGTTGGTTTTTGTTTTATGAACGACTTTTGTATACTGAGTTTGGCAGAACTTCAGCGACGGGCCACCACAAACCGGCCAGCCCAGACTGGCGGCGGCGACGGGCGGCGACGGACGGCGACGGGCCACCACAAGCCACCACAAGTCAGCCCAAGGAGAAGCGGGCCCTTTGTGGCGCGTCGGCCTCGATAGGCAGTCGTCATTCGTCGAAGACGCGGGGCGGGATACTCAGGGAACACCAGGGTCCTTGGGGCCTGGCAGCCGCGGTATGCAGAATGCGCAAGTCGGATCGGGGGCACTTTCTTGAAATCTAACAGCCCTGACCTGTCGGGTGGGGAACACTGGCCCCTAGGAAAGCTTCGATGTCGGGGGGCCCTGTTGCCACCGCCGGATCTGCCTCGGAGCCCTGGCCAGAACACGCCCGCATCGGAGGGAGGATATTCGGCACCACGTCCAACCCCAGCCAGGGGTTCCACATGCCTTCCCGAACCGGAAATTCAGGATGTTTCGACCGGGTCGCCGCAATTCAAGGAGACCACACCACCATGGAGGACCCTTCCTGGCTCCTCGCGCTGGTTGTGGCGCCGCCCTTCCTTAGTGTTACGGGAGGGGTCTTTAGAGTTGCTGTATCGGCATCTTGTTGGTACCCTGGAGGACGAGTGGAAGCGCGCCACCAGGGCCCAGCCCCTTCCGCCGAAGGCGAAGAAGGTTGGCCACACGTAAAGCATGGCCCTTCGCAGGAGTGACCTTTGATGCGCGGGTAATGTTCCTGTAGATGTTCCTGCTTCGGGATGCGTTCCAGTAGCTGCGCCTCGCCGAGAGCGTTCCGGGGTTGCCCGAATTTGTCCCGAACGGTCGCCAGTGGCCCCCAGTTATGAGCCGAAATCCGGGTGGTTCTTCGCGCTGGTGCGTGGCTTTGGGGGCCAAGCCCAAACACGCAGCTGCCACTGCCCCACCGTACGCAGCGATCGGCAGACAGCGCACCACAATCCAATCTTGCCCAGGGCCACGCTTGCGTGTAGCAGATTGAAGGGCGGGCCCTCCAAGAGCAACAGCCTCCCGCAACTGGTGCGGAAGGCGCCTGGGGGCCAGCAGGCGCTGGCACTGCCAGGCCTGACGACGTCGAGGTCGCGGTCCACGATCGGAATCGACGCGGCCTGAGGCGGGGTTGCGGGCGCTTGGGCTGGTGTGCGCAGGTCGTCCAGCCCCCGCTGTCGGGCACCTGAGTGAGCTGAGCGCTCGCCTGTCTTTCACCCCGCTTGCGACCACTTTGGAACCCTAACCCTGCGTTCGATGATCCCCATGGCGTGTGTCAGGGCATGGGGGCACCCCCGCCGGAGGAGGAGGAGGAGGAGGAGGAGGAGGAGGAGGAGGAGGAGGAGGAGGAGGAGGAGGAGGAGGAGGAGGAGGAGGAGGAGGAGGAGGAGGAGGAGAAGGAGGAGGGAAGGAGGGAGGAGGAGAGGAGGAGGAGGAGGAGGAGGAGGAGGAGGAGGAGGAGGAGGAGGAGGAGGAGGAGGAGGAGGGGGAGGGGCCGGCCTGGCTGCAGGCACCCCTCGGGTGCCGAGCCCCTGCTGGCCCTTCGGAGGTCTCACCTGCCGAGCGCCTGCTGCCGGCGCTGGAAGGATGGCGTGCGCCGTGGCGCCGCCGGCCCGCTTCTTCGCAGGCCTCGAGGTAGACACCAACACCAATATCGGCGGTGTGCCTCCACCGAGGGGAGAGGATCCCGATCTCGGTGATGGTGGTGATATTCTGGCTTCGAGGTGGTCGAAATATTCACCACCTACCAAACCACCCCAACCCAACCCGAAGGCCTCAATTTGCCCTCCATTTCCAGTGGGGGGGGGTCGGGGAACATCGAAAAAACACGTATGGAACCCATACCCCCCCCCCCAACCCGAAATTCGGGTCTTCGGGCTGGGTTGGGGTGGTCAGGTAGGTAGTCAAATATTACCACCAACACCGAAATCTAGGATCATCTTCCCCCTGTGGAGGCAAACTCCTGAATTGGTGTTGGTGCCCATTTCCAGGCCTTCCGCCTTCTCACACGCTGACCCCCACCTCGGGGGCAGCGTGCATCGAAGACGCCCTGGCAGGCGGGCGGCGTGCACAGAATCGGCCGCGCGCAGGGGGGTGGGCAGGGAGGCTTCTGGGAGGCCTTCCCCCCGCCCTCGGCCCCCCCCTCTGCGCGCAAACCAGAGAGGCCCTCGCGGGGAGGGCGATGCTGCACGCCGTCCATCTTTCCAGCGTCAGCCGTTTTGGGCGCGGTCGCCCGCGCCCTGTGCTGCCTTTTCCGCTCGGGCCTGCCGTCCGGGGCTTTCTTTTTTTGAAAGCCCCCCAAGCACGTTTCATCCGGCCGAGCTGCTGCGCCTGTCCCGCCGTTGGGGACGATCGAAATGGGTACTGAAAGAGTAGGTACAAAGACCGACAGCAGTTCCTATTCATTTTGAGCAGGGCTTGCTGCCCGCGCCGCCGCGGAGGTCGTCCATTGAAGACAAGAGGCCGCCCGCACAACAGCGGCCGCTGTCGGTTTTGGAGTCCACATTTGTTGTTGGGCATCGTACCCATGTTCGTCGTACCCATTTCGGGCGTCCAAAACCGTGGCGCATCGTTCAGCGAACGTCGTTGACCTCCGACGACGCCCCACGACAAGGAGCTCAGTTCAGAGAAGTGAAGCTCGCTTAGGGGCCCGTTTCGAGCGGGAGAGGAGGATCACGCCACAAGATACAAGACTTGGGTAGAGTCGATGACGCAAGGGGCCTAACACACACCTGCCGCGCTGCAAACACAGCAGTGGATTTTGTCGAACAGAGCTGAACTGCTACTTCGTAGCTCTCCTGGAGGGCCTCGGCAAGCGCACGCGCCGTTCGGTAGCCGTGCGCCGCCATGCTTCGGGCTGGGCGGACTGCTCGAGACTTCGTCTCCTGTTGATGCTTGCCCGTCGGCGCTGGGGAGGAAGACGAACAGACCTTGCCACTATTACCGATGTCGTCGTGACCGATTTGCGTGGTCATTGTCATATTCATTGCTGTAGTCGAGTGTTGCGGTAATCAGAGCCGAGTCCAAGTAGACGTATTTGACAAGGATGGACGGGAGGAAGGAGGAGGGGGAAGATGGGGGGGGCGCCTGGCTGCAGACCGCCTCGAGGATGCGTTGCTGGCGCTCGCCGACGTAGACTGGCGCGCCCGATTCCAGGCGGCCGCTGGACAGAGGGGGCCAGGGCCGGGAGGACGACGACTGGCAAGAGGAGGACCAGGGGCGGGAGGAGGAGGAGCTCGAGGGCCAGGAGGAGTGCCAGGAGGAGGAGGATTGCGACGGGAATCAGGAGGACGAGGAGGGGGAGGACGACGACGACAACGACGAGAACGATGAGGTAGTTTGTAGAGGAAGAGCAACACGGGGATGAGGAGCAGGAGGATGATAAGCAACGTGCGAGGAGGAACAGGAGGAGGAGGAGGAGGAGGAGAAGGAGAAAAAGGAAGAGGAGGAGGAGGAGGAGGAGGAGGAGGAGGGCGGGGAAGGGGAGGGGGAGGGGGAGGGATAGGAGGGAGAAAAGAGAAAAGGGCATGTCTTAACTGGGAACTGCGGAAGATGAGGATGGGCAGGAGGAGGAGGAGGAGGAAGAGGATTGGGGCGAGGAGAAGGATGACGATGCGGGACGTGGGATGGCACGCAGCAGGATTTTGAGGAGCAGGGAGAGGGAGGCAAGCCGGAGAGGAAGACGGGGCGTATGAGAAGAAGGACGAGAGGGGGGCATGAGGGAGACGAGGAGGAGGAGGAGGAGGTGGAGGAGGAGGAGGAGCGTGTGGAACGTGAGAGGGAAGATGAGGGGAAGCGGGGGAGATCGAAGCGCCCCAGGCGACGAACAAGGCGGGTGACTGGCAGCGTGTGCCTTTTGCCCCTGTCCAGCAGGCCTTGGGGGTACAGCTAGATAAACCGCGGGAAACCAGCGTAGTGCGATGTAGCTCCGCAACCGTCGAGGTAAATCCAAAGATGTCCATGCAAATCTGGACAACTCGCGGAAGATCACGCGCGAGTCGAGAGACAACCAAACCGTGAAGTCCGCCAGGGCCCCAGCGCAAAGCCCAGCAGACCGAAGGTGAGCGACGCGTCCCGGCGTTGGGATATGGCTCCTCCTCGTCCACTTTCCCCCATCCTCCTCCGCATCCCTTCTCCTCGTCAGTTTTACCCTCTCGGCCTTCCTCCTCCTCCTCGCCCGCCTTCTGCTTGCCCCCCTCTCCTCCTCCTCCTCTGGCGGTCGCTCCCGCCTCCGACGATCCACTCGGAAGGCGTATCACCGCATGGAGTGCCACCACATCGAGAGCTGGGCAGTGACACAGAAGCGCATGGCATGACGCGTGGCGCCGAAGGCCACTTTTTAACATGCTGCCAGGTGAACATGGAAGCTGCTGCAGCGACAACCCGTAACCCATTGCCAACCCACGACAGTGCGGCCAACGACACCACGTAGGCCAACTCGACAGGTGAGACTTTGACCTAGACAACTTCTGACACCAAAGACCTCCCGACCTGCATCCGTCACCAGTGGCCGCTCGCGAGAAAGGGCAAGCGGCCGACGCACGTAAGCTGGACCCGAACAGCCCAGAATGCATTCACACGGTCGGTGCTCGAGGACGCTTTGTCTAACAGAAAGAAGCGCAGCCGATTGCACGGGACGACCGAGCAACGCAGCCGTCCAACAGCAAGCGCAGCACGCGCTCGCATTCGCTCCAAGCTCCCACTGGCCACGCACGAGCACACCGACCGCCGAGTCGCCGACTCCCACATCCAGGACAAGACCCGTCCCTCCTCCTCCTCGTCCTCCTTCTCCCTCCCCCTCCTCCTCCTCCTCCTCCTTCTCCTCCTCCTCCTTCTCCTCCTCCACCTCCTCCTTCTCCCCTGTGTCCACTCTGGTACGTCACGCGCGACGCAGTCATCAGCATCATCCTGGGGCCACGACCTCACCCACCTGGTCTTGGTGAGGTTGGCCGCGCGTCAAGTCTCCGTACGTTCGTTCGCTCGTGGCTCGTTCGTTCGGGCTCGGTGGTTCGTCGTTTGTCCGTGGTTCGTTCGTGATCGCCCGTTCGTCGTGTCACTCGTGGTCTGATCGCGGTGGTGGTCGTTCGTTTGTCGTTCCGCCGTGCCCGCCGGCAGAGGAATTTGGCATCGCTCGGACGTGTGCATTGTTCTCGGCGAGGATCGTCCAGGAGCATCCCTGATCACCGCACGAACCGAAACAATCCTTGATCCCTGATCTTTGATCCTTGATCCTCGATCCCTGATCCTTGATCCTTGATCCATCATCCAGGAGCATCCTTGATCCTTGATCCAGGAGCATCCCTGATCATCTGGCAACAAAAAAGCACGCACGACGCCGAACAATGGCACGAGGAGAGGGAGCGTCCGAGCGACGGCAAGGGGAAGGGGTTCGGAGACGTCCTCGGCCCGGTCGCCATCCAGAGGTCACCTTCGTGAGCGCGGCGGGCCTCCTGGAGCAGGGCCAGGATCCAAGGGGAGGAGGAGGAGGAGGCGGAGGAGGAGGAGGAGGAGGAGGATTCCCCCGTCGTCGCTTGCCGCCGTCGTCGCCGTCGACGCGGGGAGGGAAGGGCTGGTACCAGTCGGCGGAGAGCGAGGGGGGGAAGCGAGAAGGTGACAAGGCTTTCTCAAAAAGCGACGGAGCTTCTCAGAAGACCTCGCGCCTTCTGGAAGCTTGGAGAACGTTCCACAAGGCTGGGGGGCTTCCGAGCCTTCTGAAAAGGCCCGCCCCTTCTCACTCCCCCAATCCCCGAGCTCCGTCCGAAAAGTTTGGGCGCCCAGAAAAAAAGGGGGAAGCCTTAGGATACACCCCGAGGGGAATATTCTGATGCGCCCCTATCGAGGATGGACGCCCCCCATAATTGTAGATCCAAGGGTCAAGCCCCAAATTTTTGGTCCATCCGAAAACCCCACGAAGCCTGGGATAGGGGTCGGCAGATCCTCCGTTAGGGGAGCGGAGGGAGGCGGGGAGGGAGAAGGGACGCGGAGGAGGAGGAGGAGGAGGAGGAGGAGGAGGAGGAGGAGGAGGAGGAGGGAGAGAGGAGAAGGAGGAGGAGGGAGGGAGGAGGAGGAGGGAGGGAGGGAGGAGGAGGAGGAGGAGGAGGAGGAGGAGGAGGGGAAGGACGAGGAGCAGGAGCGGGGGCCTTCTTTCTAAGCCCTGGGAGGGTCATTCCGGCTTCAAGCAGCCTCGGATGCTCCGCTTCGACATCCGACCAGCGCCATCAGACCGCCAAGATGGCCAAGACGTTCCCAAGATGGGGCAATATGGCTTCAATTCACCCCCAGACGCCCCTAGAACGGCCCAGGACGCCCCAATAACTCTCCATAACGACTCCGAAGATGCCCCCGAGAGGTGAACAACATTGTGTTTGCCCAGGCTATGTTCTTACGGTTTTAGCACACTCACTCTCTTGGTCTGCGGAGCGTCCGAGGCGGCTTAAGCTCTGTTGGATTACCTCAGCGCCTCTCTGAGGCACTGAATATCACCACAAAAGGGGCGCCGAGAAGGTCCCAAGAAGAGACCAAGATGACCCAACATGGCTACAAGGTGCCCCAATAGGGTTCCCGGAGAGGTCCGTCGCAATTTTGGCTCAAGTCCAATGCTCGAGCAATGCTCCAGCAAATTCGCAGAGCGCGCTTTCTTGCTGCCACCGCCTGCCTCACAGGGTTTGCCGATGGGCAGTTGCGTTACCTATTCGGAGGATGTATTAGATGGAGCAATAGGCAGACGTCTGGAGGTGAAGCTAGCGGCCACTGTACTCTTTAGCATTCCAACTGGTTCTCAGCTGATTGGGGCCGAGCCGACAGACGCTCACCACACGTCTATCATCTTGAACAGCGCTTACGAATTATTCTTTAGCTCTAGAGGAGTGATGCGATCACCACCCTTCGAAAGTCATAGGAACCACGAACTTCTAGTCGAGGAGTGTGGAGCATTCCTACGTCGACGTTGCTGAAATGATGCGCAACGTCTAAAAACATTCCCCAATCAGAGCTTGCCTCTGTAGGGGTCCTAGCGGATTAAAGGCTGAGGTGAGAGGTGCGGCCGATTTCGGTGGCCGGGCCCGGGTGCCCGGGTTCGCCGCCGATTCGGTGGCCGGGCCCGGGTGCCCGGGTGCCCGGGTGCCCAGGTGCCCAGGTGCCCGGGTGACGGATGCCCGGTGCCCGGGCGGGTGCCCGGGTGCCGGGTGCCCGGGTGCCAGGTGCCCATGTAGCCTTATAGCCTTATAGACCTATATCCTTATAGCCCTATAGCCCTATAGCCCTACAGTAGCCTTATAGCCCTATAGCCCAATAGCCCTATAGCCCTATAGCCCCAAACAAATTCTGATTGGGGTTTTTCTCCGGTATCATATTTTAAGCTTGGGACGTATGGTGTTATTCGGAATAAGTGCGATTCGTTAACAGATTGTGCATTCATTCCGTTTGGATACGATTTGACCCCAAGTACCGCGTACTCGATCGATTATGTAAGTGGGGACCAAACGCTTTGGGCTTAGTGGACGGACTGAAGCTCATCGGCCTCCAGTACGAGGAGAAGCCCGCGGCGGCCGATGTCAAGGCTGGTGCAGTCATCGAAAGGCTAGCCAAACCGCGGGCTATCGAGCTCGCCCGCCACATTAATACCCCATAGGAACCTCGCGGCTCGCACGACGGAGGTGCTCGAGTGGAAGCACGGCTCGGAAACAAGAGGGTTTCCGGAAAGGCTCAAGACGGCCCAAGTCGGGCGTCGCGTAACGGGAGGCGATCAATGAGGGGGGTGAAGAGAGGTGCGCCTTTCGTGCCTTACAAGGGCCCAGAAGGGGCCCCCTGAGGCCCAAATGGGACACGACAGGTGAACATTTCTCTTCCCCATGAAGCCACCCCCGACCAAGATGGGCCCGACGTCTTCGCGGCCCCAGCACGACCCTAGGAGACGCCCAAGACTGTCGCCGCCCTTGGCTGGTATTCCCCGCGGCACCGCCAAACCCTCTGGACCCAACCGCTCCGCCAGCTCGTGTTGGTTCCCCGATGATCGCGTCTTCCTTTGGACGAGCCTGAAGATAGGAAGGGGAGGCGCATATATGGCGCCGTCCTGTCCTAGGGCGGCGGTCATGGTCAACACAAGATCACACAAGACGCGTTGGGCTCCCGAGTGCTCCCGAGAGGGCTCACACAACATGCCTGCCAACACGGGTGTGTGACTGCCGCAACTTAGCAACGCGACAAAAGGACGCGGCCAGATCATATATCCATTGGTTTTCTCAGCGCGAAGTCTGGGGGAGCGCGCGCGGGCGACGCACTTGCGCACTTGCGGCGCCCACGAGCCAAAAGAGGCAATAGGAAACATGCCTATCAATGCTTGGTATTTTCCCCACTGGCCAGTGCACCTGTTTCGACATATGGGCCCCGCCAAAACCTTTCATACACTCTGTTCTACTTTTTTTTCTGGAGACCCGCAGGTGCTGGCCAGGTCAAGTTTACGGGCTTCCTGAAAACGAAACATGTTTTTAAAAGACATGTTTAGCGTAGGTCTTGGTGGAATCACCGACCAGCGAAAGAAAACTACCTGTGTGTGGTAGGGTTTTGGTGGCCACGCTCCTCCCGCAAACCTTCTTGGCCAAGTTTGCGGGCCTCCTGAAAACCAGCAATCAGCTTCTTGTAGGGTTTGGTGGTATCACCGACCAGAAAAAAGTTCTGTATAGCATGGTTTGGTGCCATGCTCCTTTCGCAAGCCCTCCTGAGCGAAGGAGGAGGATGAGGAGGAGGAGGGACAACGAGAGAGAGAGAGAGAGAGATAGAGAACACAAACACATTATATATACATATAGAGAGAGAGAGGAACCAACAACTAAATAACGAGAAAGAGAGATAAAGAGAGCGAGAGAGAAACGGATAAACAACTGATTGTGGTAGGGGAGGGTTGCGGAGGGGGGGTGCTGACCATACATGTGTGTATGTGTACCCGCATGCATGTGTTATGGACATGTGAGTTGCACAGTAGAGGGAAGCTTGCGCAGATGCTTGCATGTTTATACATATTCATCGGTGGACACCTATGAAGTCATACATGCAGACATATAGCTGCATACGTGCATGATTATGTATGCGTGGATGTCCATGTTAGCAAGTATGAGTGTATGCATGCATGCAGACATGAATGTGTGCACGCATGCATACATATACGCATGTATGTCTGTATGTCTGCATGTATGTGTGTACAAATATATATATATATATATATATGTATGTATATACACACATACAAACAATGTGTGTGTGCTTGCGTGGTTGAAGGCATGTAAGTCAGTAAATAAGTGTGTATGGATGAGTGTATGTATGTATGTGTATGTGTATGTATGTAGGTATGTATGGATGCGGCTATGTATGAATGTGGTTCGATGTGTAGGTATGTATGTATGCATGGATGTATGTACGAATGTATGTTCATTTGTGTGTATGTATGGACGTACGTACGTAGGTATAGTTGCATGTGTGCATATATATGTACGTATGTATGTATTCGTGCATGCGTGTGCGTATACGTACGTATGTATGGATGTATGTATGTATGTATGTATGCACGTATGTATGTATGCATACATGCATGTATGCAGGTATGTATGTATGTAGGCAGGTATGTATGTATGTATGTATGTATGTATGTATGTATGTATGTATGTATGTAGTTATGTATGAATGTATGTATACATGTATGTATGTATGCATGTATGCATGCATGTATGCATGCATGTATATATGTATGTATGAATGTATGTATGTATGTGTGTATGTATGTATGTATGCATGTATGTATGTATGTATGTACATGTCTATATATATATATATATATATATATAGATATCCTGGGGGACGAGCGCCGGGGGCCCTCGCCCAGGGCCCCCTCCTCCTCGTTGGGGGGCTCTGGGCCCCCAAACGGCTCTGGACGGCTCGACGAGGGATTCCAGGCGGCACAGGAGGCTCCAGGCTCACGCACCAATTGCCCCCAAGGGCGCTCGAAGACGCCCGAGGTAGGCCCAAGAGGGCCCAAGGGGCTCTCCAAAGGCCCCAAGAGCGCTCCAAGAGGAGTCGCACGAGGGCGCTCCGAGGTAGACATTGTAATTTCCCATTGGTGCTGTGATGCTTTCTGGTTTCTCGGCGATTCGTGTTTGCGACGCCCCAAGGCGGCCCAACAGGTTTTTCGACACCGCCCAAAGGCTGCCCAGAAGGCCCCCAAAGAGGGCTCCAAGAAGGCCCCAGACAGTTTCGACACGGCCACAGTGGCGCCCAGGAAGGCCCAAGAGGGCCCCACGGCAGCCCAGAGGGGAGCCCTAGCGAGAAGAGAATTCGGAACTCCGAGCGGTTCGCCCCAGATGGCCCCCAGAAGGCCCCAAGAGGCTCTCACGAGGCCTCCACGAGCTGCAACACAGGCCCCCAGAGACTCTCAAGAGGTACACCCGACGCCGCACAACGGCCCCCAAAAACCTTCAATAGTGCTTCCAAGAGGCCCCCGAGAAGCCCCCAATCCCAACGAACACCCATGAGGTCTCTGACGTAAAACTCCTTCTCTTGGCTTCGGTTTCCACCTTGTCCCCCTCCTCCTCCCGTTGCTCCTCCTCTTTCGCGACTTCCTCGTCGTTGCCCCCCCTCTGTTCCTCTACCTGCAGGCGCGAGGTTCTCATCGTCATCGACATCGACGTCATCGTCTCGTCGTCGACGTCGTCGTCGTCCTTGTCCGGAGCACGAACCTCACGTGACGGGGGTCGTCGCTGTCGTCGTCGTCGTCGTAGTCGTCGTCGCCGTCATCTTGTGATCGTGGTCGTGGTCGTCGTCGTCATTGTCGTCGTCGTCGTCGTCGTCGTCATCCTCGTCGTCCTCGTCGCATGTCGTCCTCAGCGGAGGAGGGGCAGCAACGCAGCTGCAGCAGAAACAACACCAGGACAAAGTGAAGGAGGAGGAGGAGGAGGAGGAGCGGGAGGGGCGGGAGGAGGAGGAGGAGAACTAGGAGGAGGAGGAGGAGAAGGAGGAGGAGGAGGAGGTGGAGGAAGGAGGAGGAGGAGCAGCAGCAGCAGGAACAGGAGGAGGAAAAGGAGGAGGGGGCCGAAGAGAGGAGGAGGAGGAGGATAATTAGGAGGAGGAGGAGGAAGAGGAGGAGGAGGAGGAGGAGGAGGAGGAGGAGGAGGAGGAGGAAGAGGAGAAGGCGGGAGGCGGAGGAGGATGACAAGGAGGAGGATGAGGAGGAGAAAGATGAGGACGGGGAGGAGCAGGAGGGGAGGAGGAGGAGGAGGAGTTTGAGAAGAAGGAGCAGGAGCAGGAGAAGGAGCACGAGGGAGGTGGAGGCGGAGGAAGAGACGAGGAGGAGGATGAGGAGGAGTAGTAGCTGTATGTATGACTGTATGTATGTGTGTATGGTTGCATGCGTGCACACATGTATGTTTGCATGCACGCATGCATGTATGTATGTATATATGACTGTATGCATGTGTATGTATGTGTGTACGCGGTCAGTCTTATAGCTTTGACCGTATCTTGGAAGTCGCAAAGACAAGCGCCGCGCCAGCCCTCCCACCCCCCATCCCCCTGATGCAAAAAGCTGGGGAGACCGACGAGAGACGACGGCTATGGACCTCATCGGTGACGTCGTCTCGCCGTCGCTGCTCAGCTTTGCATCGCTGGGGGCAGGGGGCGGGCGCGGGCTGCGCGTTCGCCCTGCCGCGGCGACACATTCGGCTGCCGCCGCATGGGCGCGCCCTGGCATGTCCGCTTCGATCGCCTCCCGGAAAGCGCAACGTGGGGAAGCGCGGCCAGAACTTTTTGCACCCGGCAAGTCTGCATGCATGCTCGCGTGTGTGTGTACGCATGCATGCACATCTGAATGTATAGATGCAGGCATGTATGAATGTATGCATGTATGATTGTATGCATGTTCATATTACGTACGTTTGGGTGTGTGGGCGCATGACTGTATACGTGTATGTATGTATGAATGCATGTGTTTATGTATGGGTGTGTATGGGTGGTTGCAGGTATGTACGCGTGCATGGATGTGCATGCATGTATGTAGACTTGTGTGACTGCACGCATGTACGTGTGTATGCATGCATGCATATATGAATGAAGGGGTGTGTGTGTGTGGGTAAACTTGTTAAAGGATGTATGTGAATACGCGTGTGTGTGTGTGTGCGTGTGCGTGCGTATTTACGTGTGTAGGTGCGTGTGTATGTACGTTCGTGCGCACGTGCGCTTGTGTGCGTGCATGCATTCGTGCAGGATGCACGTGCGCAGGCATATATATATATATATATATATATATATATATATATATCGGTATTGTTGTATGTAGGTGTGTATGTATGTATGCAGGTCCGCATGCGTGTGGTTATTTGTATGCATATTAAAATGTATACACGGATGCGGGCATTTATGTATGCATGTACGTACGTATGTAGTATATACATGTACATGTATGTGTGTGCTTGTGTTGGTACGTATGTATGTACGTATGAAGGCATGCACGCATGCGGTTAGCAATGTCGTTTCGCACGTATGTATGTATGCATATATGTATATGCGATGGCTATTATGTTTGTGTTAGTGCATGTATGCATGTGCGTATGTACGCTGGTTTGCCTGGTCATTTGCAACTCATAAATAATTCATCATGCGTGTGCACGTGCACATGCCAAGTTATCTAACTGTGCCAGGCCCTCCGACCGAACACCAGATTCTGGTACAGTTGAAGTACGCGGCGACGCCCTGTGGAGTCCCCGTGAAGCTTCGGAGGACATCTCTGCGCTTCCTGTAGCAGCCGCGCAACGCCAAGGAAGGCCGACTACGCTTCGAACGCTGGTTCAGGTTTCCCAGGAACAGCCGAAAAAAAGAAACCCAGGGGGCCGCGGCCGAAAAGACCCCCCATTGCACAGAAACAGCCCAATGGCATCGGTGTCAACACACAGGGGGCCGAAGAGGACCCCGAAGGCACCTTGAAGAAACGCATTTTCATATCTGGAGTTGAACCCCTGTATAAAATCCGGTGGAGGCAAGGGGGGCAGCAGGCGATGCCGTATGGGACTTGAGCGTGGTGGTGGTGGTTGTCGTATTTGCGCCACTAATCTCGTTGTCGATGGTTGAGGTTGTCGTTGCGGCGGCGGTGAAAGTGGTAATGGTGGCAGTGGCGATATCGTGGTGATAGCAGCTAGCATTGGTAGCCGTAGTGGTCGTCGCACAAAGCAGAGGTTCAGCCAATTGTGCACCGTGGTCATTGTAAGTGCAGTTGTCGTGGCGGAGCCCGTCATGCGTATACTGGCGATGGAGCAATAGTGGCCGTGGTCGTCGTCACAGAATCATGGCAGTGGATGCCGTAGCGAAATACGCAGTGGTAGCGGTGGCAGCCGTTGCGAAGCTGTAGCTAGAACCTAAGTGCGCTAAGCGCGGGTGGTTCTAGGATGCGTATATATACATATGTATATAGAGAGAGGGAGAGGGAGAGGGAGAGAGAGAGGGAGAGAACGGGAGAGATACACAGAAGTGGTGGCGCAGGGGGCACAGAGGGGGATAACCGCGGAAGGAAGAGGAGGGAATCGGGATTGTAGAAGATGGGTGGGGTGGAAGGAGCGACGCAGTGTGAGAGGAAAGGATACATGGAATGAGGCGCTCCGCTAGAGGATGCCGGTGGCCTCTTCAAGGAGTTTTTGGAGAAGCTGGCCGAGACCGCTTTCGATCCGCAGTACGGTCTCTTCCAGGCCACCGAGTCGCGGCTGCTGTTCCCGAACCCTCAGGCGGTACCTCGATCTATAGAGGGAGGCGTAAGGGAAGGACGAATCGGAGGAGGAGGCGCTGTGGCAAGAATGTGGGCCTGGGCCGTTTCGGTGTTCTTCGTGATCAAGGTAAGCACCACGACGCACGCTTGTATGATTTTTTGTTGCAGGAGCACTCAGGCGGTCCAGGCCTACATCCTGGCTGCCGCCTGAGGACGAGAAGTGCAAAGGCCCCGCTGCTTGGCTGGGCCCGCATGTTGCGTCTGCGACTGGCGGGGCCTCGAGCACCCAACTCTCCCCCTTCTCCTCCTTCCTCCTCCTCCTCCTCCCAGTTGCGCAGGGAGGAGCCGTGCTGTTCCCACTTGACACAGCCTTCCGCTGCGGCCGCCAACCAGCCAGCTAAGCAAAGGTTGAGCGCGGACGCTTTTTCAGACAGCTCCTCTGGGAGCCGCGTTGCGCGCCATTGCGACTTTAGCAGCGCTGTGCGTGCCATGCATTGGTTGAGCACGCGCTGATTCGGTAGGTTTTCGAAAGGGCCCCCTTCAGACCCATGACCGTGGCCCCCGAACAAAATAATATAAATGTATACCTATACGGAAATCCTTCGGGTGATAAGGAGGTTGTGGGGGGGGAGAGGGGGAGAACCAACATCTGACTCAATCGATCTCACTATCGATTTCACTCAATGGGACACCACGGCACACCACGGGACACTTGTCGATCTCACTATCGATCTCACTATCGACTTCAGCCCAACGGGACACCACGGGACACTGCGGGACACCTCTCGATCTCACTATCGGTCTCACTATCGCTCTCACGGTCGATCTCACTCAACGGGACACCATAGGACACTACGGGACACCACGGGAACCCTCGGGACACTTGTCGATCTCACTATCGATCTCACGATCGATCTCAATATCGATCTCCCTCAACGGCACACCACGGGACACTTGTCGATCTCATTTTTGATCTCACCATCGATCCCACTCAACGGGGCACCACGGGACACCACGGGCCACAACGGGACACCACGGGACACCGCGGGACACCTCTCGATCTCACAATCGGTCTCTTTATCGATCTCACTATCGAATTTCACTCAACGAGACACTATAGGACACCACGGGACACCACGGGACACCTCGGGACACCACATGGATCTCATTATCGATCTCACTATCGATCTCACGATCGATCTCACTATCGATCTCACTCGACGGGACACCACGGGACACCACGGGACACCTGTCGATTTCACTATCGATTTCAGTTTTTGGGGCACCACGGGACTCCTCGGGGCACCACATCGATCTCACTATCGATCTCACTATCGATCTCACTCAATGGGACACCACGGGACATCAACGGACACTTGTCGATCCCACTATTGATCTCACTATCGATCTCACTTTTTGGGACACCACGGGATACCACGGGACACCACGGGACACCACATCGATCTCAGTATCGATCTCACTATCGATCTCACTCAACGGGACACCAGGGGACTCCACGGGACACCACTGGACACCGCGGGACACCGCGAGCCACCGACGGACGGACGGACGGACGGGTGGACGGGGGAGAATCATTTGTCTTGACTTCGCCCTAGCAGCGGCGGACACCACCGGATACCACGGGACACCGCGGGACACTGTGGTGGCCACCGCCGGACGGGCGGGCGGGGGAGAATCATGTGTCTTGACTTCGCCCTCGCAACGGCGGACACCACGGGACACCACGAGACACCGCGGGACACCGCGAGCCACCGCCGAACGGGCGGGCGGGGGAGAATCATTTGTCTTGATTTCGCATGGCGGACACCACGGGACACCACGGGACACCGCGGGACACCGCGGGACACTGCCAGGGCCACCGCCGGACGGACGGACGGACGGACGGGGGAGCAACATTTGTTTTGACTTCGCCCTAGCGACGGCGGGTTCATTTCTCTCGCGCGCCCACGCAGCTTCGCCTCGCCCGCACGCACGACACGAACGAAACGACTTGATTTCCCGGTTGGGGGTCTCCGTTCCACTGCGATCTCACCCCCCAACCTCCGATATATCTATATATACACACCTATACGACCACCCTTCGGGTGATAAGGAGGTTGTGGGGGGGGAGAGGGGGGGAACCAACATCTGAGTCAATCGATCTCACCATCGATCTCACTCAACGGGACACCACGGGACACCACGGGACATTTGTCGATCTCACTATCGATCTCACTCAACGGGAAACCACGGGACACCACGGGACACCGCGGGACACCCCTTGATCTCACTATCGGTCTCACTATCGATCTCACTATCGATCTCACTCAGCGGGACACCACGGGACACCACATCGATCTCACTATCGATCTCACTATCGATCTCACTCAACGGGACACCACGGGACACCACATCGATCTCACTATCGCACTCACTATCGATCTCACTCAGCGGGACACCACGGGACACCTCGGGGCAGCACATCGATATAACAATCGATCTCACTATTGATCTCACTCAACGGGACACCACTTCACACCACATCGATCTCAGTATCGATCTTACTATCGATCTCACTCAACGGGACACCACGGGCCACCTCGGGACACCACATCGATCTCACCAACGATCTCACGATCGATCTCACTATCGATCTCAATTGTTAGGACACCACGGGACACCTCGGGACACCTGTCGATCTCACTACCGATCGCACTATCGATCTCACTCAGCGGGACACCACGGGACACCACGGGACACCTTGGGGCACCGCATCGATCTCAGTATCGATCTCACTCAACGGGACACCACGGAACACCATGGGACACCTGTCGATCTCACTATCGATCTCACTATCGATCTCACTCAACGGGACACCCTCTGGACACCTCGGGGCACCATATCGGTCTCACTATCGATCTCACTATCGATCTCACTCAGCGGGACACCACGGGACACCAGGGGACACCAGCGGGACACCGGCGGGACACCGCGCGGCACCGGCCGCCGGAGGAGGAACATGTGGTCCGGCCGCGGCCCAGCCATAGGAGGACACCTCGGGACACCCGCGGAACACCGGCGGGACACCGCGCGGCACTGCCCGCCGGAGGAGGAACATTTGGTCCGGCCGCGGCCCAGCCACAGGAGGATTTCTTCTCGACCGCCCACGCAGCTTCGCCTCGCCCGCACGGTCGCACAACCCGAATCCGAAATTGATTTCCCGGTAGGGGGGCCTCCGTTTCACGTCGGACTCACCCCCCAACTAAATCAAAATTTTCGGCGCCTGCGGCGGGCTGTTTTTGAGTTCCTTCCAGGTGGAGGTGGAGAGCCCGCGACCCACCCGCGACCCAAACTACGTTCACTGAACAAGCCAAAACTTTGGCGCCTGCGGCGGGCTTCTGTTGCATTCGTTCCAGGTGGAGGACCTGCGACCCAAACCGCGTTCAGTGTACAAGTCAAAATTTTCGGCGCCTGCGGCTGGCTGTTTTTGAATTCCTTCCAGGTGAAGGTGGAGAGCCTGCGACCCACCCGCGACCCAAACCACATTCTCTGAACAAGCCAAAAATTCGGCGCTTGCGGCGGGCTGCTTTTGCATTCATTCCGGGTGGCCCACCAGCGATCCCCCCCGCGCTGAACTTGTCAGAGCACGCAAATCGTTGCCTGAGGCGGGCTTGCTCGCATTGGTTTGGGAAAGCGCCCTGATGCCATTCCCCCGATCCGGCCCACGTTGACTCTACAACAGCACATCGGCGCCTGCGGCGGGGCCGTGTCTGAACACGTTCATTAACATTCCAGTTGCTTGCTGCCGCGGAGGAGGGGAGGAGGAGGAGGAGGAGGAGGAGCAGGGCAAGGAGCAGAAGGAGGAAGACGACGACGACGACGACGACGACGACGACGACGACGACGACGACGACGACGACAACGAGTACGAGAACGAAGAGGAGGCCGACGACGAGGGCGTGGAGGGAAGGAGGGGGGGACGGAGGGGGACAACGAGAAAGGAGGGAGGAGGAGGGGGAGGAGGAGGACGACGGAAAGGCGGAGGGGGTAGGATCGGGATGGGGGAGGAGGAGGAGGAGGAGGAGGAGGAGGAGGAGGAGGAGGAGGAGGAGGAGGAAAAGGAGGAAAAGGAGGAAAAGGAGGAAGAGGAGGAGGAGGTGGAGGAGGAGGAGGCGGACGACGAAGACGACGACGAGGCCGAGGACGCGGACGAGGAAGAGGAGGAGGAGGAGCAGGAGGAGGAGGAGGGCGCCATCGACAGGGAAGGTGAGGGCCACGAGGTCCGCTGGCTCCACGCCCGCGTCGCCCGCGCCCGCCCCCTCACTCTTATCCGCAATTGCGGGGTGCTTCGTATGAATGTGCATGTGTGTTGGTCATGATCGTCCTCCTGGCTTTTATCCCTCCTCCAGGCCCGGCCCCACCACCCCCGCGAGCTGCCCTCGGGATTGTCGGCCGCCGCCCAGAGGCGGGTCAGTACCACGACAACGTGGAGCGCCTGTTCGAGTTCCTCGGCAGGGTCATCGGCAAGGCCACCTTCGGAAGTTGCAGGAGGGAGCAGGGGAGGAAGAGGCGATAGGAGGCCAGACGGGGGGGGAAGGTGGAGAAGGAGGAGGACGGAAACGGAGGAGGAGAGAGGGAGGGAAAGAGAGGCAGAAGTAGAGAAGGCAGTGGGGAAGAGGAGAGATGAGGGCGGATGAGGAGGAAGAGGAGGAACTGTAGAAGGAGGAAGAGGAGGAGGAGGAGGAGGAGGAGGGGAGGAGGAGGAGGAGGAGGAGGAGGACGACGACGACGACGAGGACGACGAGGACGATGAGCAAGGTCAGGAGGCAGGAGCATGAGCAGAAGGAGGCAGAGCCGCCTGCGAGGCCATCTACGAGGGCATCGTTGTGGAGCCGTGTTTCGCACCGTTCTTCCTCGCGAAGGTGAGGGACCGCAAAGACGAGCCCTAGGAGGAGGAAGAGGAGGACGAGGAGGAGGAGGTGGAGGAGGAGAAGGAGGAGGAGGACGGTGAGGGGGGGATGGAGGATGGAGGAGGGAGGAGGAATGAGAAGGAGGAGGAAAAGAGGGAGGGCGGGAGGAGGAGGGAGGAGGGAGGAGGAGGGAGAAGGGAGAGGAGGGAAAGAGCAGGATGAGGAGGAGGAGCAGGAGGAGGAGGAGGAGGAGCAGGAGGGGGAGGATGAGGAGCAGGAGGAGGAGATGAAGGGAGGAGCGGGAGGATGATGATGATGAGATGATGAGGAGGAGGGGAGGAGGAGGAGGAGGAGGAAAGGAGGAGGAGCATGATATGAGGAGGAGGAGGAGAGGAAGGGTAAGTGAGAAGAGGAGGGGCAGGAGGAGGACGGGGGAGTAAGAGCAGGAGTAGGAGGAGGAATAATTGGAGGAGGGGGAGGAGGGATGATTACCGAGGAGGAGGGAGTAGGAGTGAGGAAGAGGAGGAGGAAGAGGAGGAGGAGGAGGAGGAGGAGCAGGAGAAGGAGATGGGAGGATGAGCAGGAGGAGGAGGAGGAGGAGGAGGAGGAAGAGGAGGAAGAGGAGGAGGAGGAAAGGAAAAGGGGCGAGAAAGAGGAGGAATGGAAAGTGAGAAGAGGAGGGGCAGGAGGAGGAAGGGACCGTAAGAGGAGCAGGAGGAGGCGGAGGAGCCAGCGGTCCGACGACCCGAGCTGGCCGTAACATGGCCCATGACGGTCGAGACAGACGCCCACCACGGCAAGATGGCCGTAGCGCTCAAGGTGGCCGCCAACCCCATCCTGGACGCCCCCTCGAGGGCGAGGGGGGGGAGGACACGGTTAAGGCCTGACCGACCTGCCGCCGCCTGCGTGCAGGCCGTCATGGGGGTGGTTTCCCTTCCTCATCAGGCCTTTAATGAGCCCCCTCCTCCTGCTCCATCTTGCCACCCCCATGCGGCCTCTCCGGGAGCCCCCCCGAAGGAGGAGCAGATCCGCTGCACTTAAAGGCCCCTTAAGTGCAGCGGGCTGTCTTGGCCTCCGGGGACCCCCCCGAAGGAGGAGCAGATCCGCTGCACTTAAGGGCCCCTTAAGTGCAGCGGGCTGTCTTGGCCTCCGGGAGCCCCCCCCCCCCAAATTTTTCTCGGCCCTTTTCGGCCCCCGCCCCTCCCCTTGCGAAGCCTTGGCGGCTTTCCCCTTGTCCTCCTGGCGGGGGTCTGTGTCGGGGGGTGGCCCCCCCTACGCGCTTCGGGCGCGCGCGTGTAGCCCCGGCCGCGCGGACGGCTGCGTCCGACAGGACATCGAGCCGATAGCGATAGCGATAGCGATAGGAGCCAGCGGAGGAGCAGCAAGTGTGGTTGTGCGCCGGGCGAACCTCGCGGCGCGTGGCAGATCCTGTCAGCAGTCAGCAGCGTCTGGCGTGCGTGTCCTCACGCTGGCAGAAGCTTGGCGCGGGCATGCTGCGGCTGCCCAGCGCCCAGCCGCGCCATGTGACCGCTGGCACAGGAGGCCCTCAGGCGTCTGTTCGTGTCCGAGCTTGGAATTCAAGGCCGGGAGCTTTGGCTCGCGGACGACATGTGTGCACCGTACCGCGGTGCTGTCTCTCGAGCGTTGTCGATCCTCGAACCAGGAATGATGCGGTGCACAGTTTCTGTCGGCCCCCAGAGCAAGAGCCCTATGCAGCGTACCGCGCTAGGCGGGGCCTGGAGGGAGTCCAGACATGGTACTGTGCATGCGCGCCGTGCTCGTGTATGGGATAGCGTGTCGCTCCAGCGGCTCTGGCCCACCACGATCCGGCGCGACACGCTGCCGAGCTTTTTCGGAAAAAGCTCGGCACATGTGCGCCTGCGGGAATCCCCAGCCTGACGCCCCTCGGATCGACTCAGCACGCCATTTGCTTGCACGGCATGGCGTAACGCCGTGGCGACAAGCTAAGCCACCGTTCCCGACTGTTTCCATCACCTCCGCCTGGGGGATTGATCTTCGGGGACCTCGACAGGCGGTGGATATGGATATATCTGGGCCCTGGGGCGGCCAAATATGTCAATATCCGCCGCCTGCTGGATTCCCCGAGACTCATCCTCCAGGATGTGGTGATGGAGAATCTCCGCCTCGCAGTTCGCGGGCGCTGCGAGGCCGCACTTGCAGGCGCTTCTGCAGCTGCGGCCGCGGCCATAGCCGCAGCCGCGCTGGTCTCTCCTCCTGTCCTCGTCAACTCTTCTTCCGTTTTCTTTCACAGCCCCCTGTCCTTCCCTCCTGCTTTTGCCTTCCCCTCCTCTCCTTCATTGCATCATGTTGTGTTGAGTTTACTGGCGTGGCCGTTTGGGCCACCTCGTAGGCGTGTAACACACAGCTTCTGTGCAGCCGCGAGGCCGAGACGTTATCCAAGGGAACCCGTGTCGTTGGCACTCTGCTCCTGCCCGAGCTCGGGGTGCCAAGCCCCCCGAACCGTGGTGCTCCTGCCTCCGCCTCCTTCGACCGTTCGCCTGGGCTCGAGCCTGTCACGGGTGGTTCCTTCTGTGTTGCGTCTGTCTGTCTACACATTGTTCATGTCTAACTATTCGAAAGTTGTTTGATTTCTTGGGGGGCCAAGGTCCTTTCATGTTTGCTTGTGCTATCCTGGGCCTCTTCCTGGCCACCAGGGGGCCAGGAACACATAGAAACGAACACAATTCGAAATGAGCACGATTAGAAGTGAACGACGTGTAGGGGAGGCAGGATTTGTCCCTTCCAGTCGGCGCCTACAGCAAGCAGTGGCGAAAGCGTGGTCTGGCCCGAGTCATCCCTGGCCAGCCTTGCGACGAACATGACAGTTGTCGGGGCGCTCGGCGAGGCGAGTTGCGTGTACTATCGTTATCCGCTCACATCTCCTGCTCCTCGAACTAAAAACTCTCTCTCTCGGTCTGTCTGCCTGTCTGCCTGTCTGTCTGCCTGTTTGCCTGTCTGTCTGTCTGTCTGTCTGTCTGTCTGTCTACGTGTGTGTATGCTGCGTGCTGTGAAGCACCAAGATTTCCTCGCACGGGCGTTGAGTGCGACGGCCGGGAATTGTTGGATGGCGTATCGATCCGCCGGTTCTGGCCCACCGCGCTTCGACGCGACACGCCATCCACTTCGCGGTCCCCAGGCGTCACCGTCCCAAACCTGTTCGAGCCTCCCGTCCCGCGGAGCGGAGCGGCACGTCGTGCGCTCGCCGGGCCCAGCGTGTTGGCTGCCGCCGCAGCACGCTACGCAACCGTTCCCGACCGTAACGGGAGGCTGGGCCACACAGGGGGCACCTGTCTCCCCGCCGACCGCCGCCCCAGCTTGCACAGCTTGCCTGCGGGCAACGCGGCGCAGACCTCGGGGCTTCTGTAGGAAAGACGCCAACAAGCCGCCGCAGAGACGATTTTTTTTGTTGCAACTGTCCATGGGGCTCTGGCCGTACGTCCCAGTACATCACGTCTGTCAAGTAATGAAGATTCCGTGCAAGCTGGCGCTGTTCAGTAGTCTAGCCTGAAAGGTGAAATTACATTTTGGCCTACAGCGTTGGGTGTGATAGAAGATTATCTGGCTGACAGTGGTGTTCCCTCCCCCATCCCCAAGATGCGCGTAAAGACCCCCATCACCTAGAACACCACAGCCCTCCAGTGGATGTAGCATGGTCGGCGGTGGCGGCAAGTGGGTCAAGGCCGGCATGAGCAGGCCGGCCTGTAGGTTTGAAAGTGTTTGCCCGTAAGAGAAAGACAGCTATCAGCAGACTCTCGTAGTCGTAATCCTGCGACGCAGGTGTCGGGAACACGGCAGAATCCCCCCACCCCAAAATGATCCCATCTCTCTGAGCGAACACGCCTAGGCGCACCTCGTCCTGGAGCCTCGCCAGGGAACAAAGACAGCTGGGGAGCGGGCAGGGAGGCCGGGAGGGGAGCAGGGACAAGGAAGGGAGAGTGAGCGGCCAGAGGGAGGGACAGGCGGGAGGCAAGAGGGGAGAGAAGGAATGGAGGGGAGGGGAGGGGCTGGGAGGCAAGGAAGAGGCACGAAGGTGATCCTCCAAAAGGCTGTGTTTTGGCAGGTAGCGTTTTTTCTTCGGCACGGGGTCAGAACCCCTGGGCCCAGGGGTTCCCCTTGGTGACGGCGTTGGGGACCCACTCGGGTGCCCCCGGGCTTTTTCGGGGGAGTGGAGGGGGGAGGGAGGGGAGCGGAGGGCAGAGGCGGCGGGGAGAATGGCCCTGCCCGCGCGCGTTCCCCATCACGCGCCCCCCCCGCGTCGCAGCTCCTTGGCCGGCACAACTCGTACTACGACCTGCAGCCCGCTGCCCGGTGGCCCCTCGCCGGCCGAGCCAGCAGCGGCTCGGGGAGAGGGGGGGGCCCTCGGCAGTTGCTGGGCCTGCCAGGCCCAGCAACTGCCATGGGCCTGCCAGGCCCAGCCCAGGCCAGGCCCAGTTGCTGGGCCTGCCAGGCCCCATGCCTTCCACCCCATTGGGCGGCGGCCCAGGGTGGGCCGCGGCCCAGTGGGGTGGAAGGCATGGGGGGTCCAGCACCGCGCCCGCGCGGACCTCCAGCTGCTCTGCCGCTCCGGGATCCTCGGAGGCACCGCGAGGGGCCCCCGGCCCTGGGCCCCAGAACGAGGGGCTTTGCCAAGCCAAGGCGCTGGGCGCACCCTGGAGGGCTGCAGCCGTGGGCCGGAGCACTCTGCGCCCTGCGCTCTCTCCCTCGCAGACGTCTGGTTGCAGGGTCCCTGAGGTCGGCGGCTGCCAAAACAACGCGTGGCTGGCCTTCGCTAGGCCGCGCCAAGCTCCAGTCGGCGGCGAACGAGGGGGGAAGTGAGCAGGAGAAGGCATTCTCAGAAGTCGGTGGAGCTTCTCATAACTGTCCGCACCTTCTGAGGAGTTGTTTGTTGTGTTTGGGGGGAAGGCTTTGCAAACTGTTCGGAAAGCCGGATGACTTCAGAGCCTTCTGAGAAGGCCCGCCCTTTCTTACTTCCCCCCACGCTCGCCGCCAGTGTAGGCCTCGAGCACGGAGTTCAAGTAAGCGGGGGGTCGGGGGATCGCGCCGCGTTGCCGATGCTTCGGCGATACGGCTCGGTGCAGAGCCCACTTTCTCCACGCCGACGTCGCCGATGCATCACCGATTCATCGGCGATGCATCGGCGGTGCGGCGCGATCCACTGACCTCATGTACTCGGACTCCATGTGGGAGGCCTCCACAAGCGCTCTCTGCGTGGCCCACCGTAGCGAGGCGCAACTTGCAGGATGACTCCCGGGCAGCCGTTCCGCGTTCTGCTTTGCTTCGCCGTATGTATACGTATGTGTCTGACTGACTGACTGACTGAAGCCGTGCATTCCTAGCGGACGCGTGGGCAAAATGGGTGGAACAAGCTATAACGGAATGTACAACTGCACAAGTACAGGAGGAAGGAGAAGGAGGAAGGAGGGAGGAGTGCATACGGTATCAGTTTGTACATTGACGCCGCCCAATGTTGTCTCGGGCGGCCCCGGCGTCTGCGCAGGGCGTGCATTTGCGCATCGTGCTGGCGGGGGGGCACGAGGCACTGCAGACACAAAGCAAAGGGAAGGGGCTCGCCTTCGGCGCGTCTCGCCCTCTTGCGGGAGCTGGCGGAAGCCAGCGGAGGTGCAACGTCAGCGGGTCCGCCAGCGAAATTTGGCGGAAAGTCGGCAGAAGCAACAGTGAGACGTCCAACATTTCGGGTGGGGGTGTTCGGAATCGGCCTGCTGGAGGGGGAGGGGGTCGGGAGGAGGAGGAGGAGGAGGAGGAGGAGGAGGAGGAGGAGGAGGAGGAGGAGGAGGAGGAGGAAGAGGAGGAGGAGGAGGAGGAGGAGGAGGAGGAGGAAGGGAGAAGGGTCAGCTGGGAAGGCTTCGGGCTGCGCACAGGCAGGCCCCCCAGGTGGTCCCAGCTGGCCTCAGCAGGCCTCCCGAGCAGTCCCAGCTGGCCTCAGCAGGTCCACGGAGTAGCCCGGGGCGGTCTCAACGTTCCAGCCCTGGGGCTTACGAGGGTGGGGATGGGGGAGGAGCAGAAGGCCTTCCCCTCCTCTTTTCTGCCCCCCCCAACCCCCCCCCTGTCACCGCCCCCCTCGCCCTCACCATCTCCCTTCCCCTTCACCCCTCTCCGCCAGTCCCGATGCCCCTCCCCTTCTTTTTTCTCCCTCCCATCCCCTCCTCGCTCATCCTCACCTCCGTCCTCGTTCTCATCCCCATCTCCATCTCTGTCCACATCCTCATCAATCTTCCCATGCGTATCTTCCTCATCTTATTTCCATCCTTGTCCTTCTTGTCCTTCCTGTTCCCATCCCATCCTCCATCCCCGTTTTTGTTCACTTCGCTCCTTTGGCCGCATCATCGGGCAGCTGGGGCGGGTGGCTTCTGGCCAGCGGCTGGCTAGGAATTGCAGGGTGTCGTCGTCGTCGTCGTCGTCGTCGTCGACCCGCACGGCCGCCGCCTCGGGTCCCGACTTCAGGGGCCTGGCTCCAGAAGCGCGATCCCGGCTGCCCCAGATGTTCGGTAGCGCCACGCCGAGGCTGGGGGCTTCGGGCTGCCAGGGGCGGGCTGGGCCCTCTGTGGCCGTCGACGCGGTTTGCAGTGGTCGACGGACCCTACGGGCGGGAACTTTCAGATGGCGTGTCGCTCCGCCGGTTCTGGCCCTCCGCGCGTCGGCGTGACACGCTATCCACTGCGCAGTCCCCGATCGCCAATATCCCGAGCCTTTCCCGGCCTCCCGCCTCGCGGAGCGGAGCAACACACTATCCACTCGCAAGGTACAGCGTGCCGAGGCCGCCGCGGCGACACGCTGACACGCTGTGCAACAGTTCCTGACCTTGCGACTCCCCTTATGCCTGATGACATCATTCCTGATTGCTTGCCTGTGTCGCGGGGGGGCCGGGTCCGGGCATGACGGACCCGTGCGGGGGAAGGCCTCCGCTGGTCTGTGCTCACTGTCGCTCTTGAGGTCAGGGGCAACGTTAGGGGGGGATCGGCTCACGGGGGGAGCATCGACCCCGAATCGCCCACTCATCGCCGATAGGGGCCCGATAGCCCCGCCCTGCCCAGCACAGCGCGGTGTCGCTATCGGGCGCCTGTTGCCGATCTATCGGTGATGTGTCGCCGCTTCCAGCTCGATGTTTCCCCCCTCCCCCCACCCCTCTCGAGCGGGCCCTCCCCCTAAGGTAGCCCCTCAGGAGGCCCCCCCCCCAATGGCACCTCTCACGGCTTCACCGCCCCGACCTGCCGCCCGCGCGCACGCCAGGCGCGGTGTCCCCCCCTGCCACGGGCGAGCCTCCCGCCAATGTCGGGGGGGCCATCGCGCTGGCAGCGTCCAGCGTCCCGCTCTGGGGTGCCGCGGTGAGCCGTGCGGCTCTTTCAGTCAACCTAGTTCCCTCTGGCTTCTCTCTTTCATAGCGTCTCGCCACAGGGTTCGAATAGTTTGGAGCCGGCTGGGGAACTGAGGCGGCCCAGCATTGGTTTTCCGGCGAGGCGACCAGGAAGGTGGGGCGAGGTTCGAGGTTCTGGTTGCGTTTTTCTGCCTCTGGGGGTCGTTTTCGGCCCCCCGCGAGGTGAACAACTGAACTACGTGGACCCAGGGAAGGGAGGTGTCCGGGGACCGATTTTGAGCTAATTTGCCCTTATCCCTACTTCTTGGCCGATTTTCCCGAGGTCCATCCAACTCACACTCCCGGGCCGCCTCCAACCACAGAAGAGTCCCACGGCGGGGACGGGGAGCCCGAGGGCATGGCCGCGCTTTGCTGCTATTGGGGTACGTTGATCGGACAATTCTGCACAGCGAGGGCTCACGGGCCCCACCTGTCTGACTCTCTTTCACCCACTCGGTGGTCAGGTGCCGAGCGAGTACTGGAGCTAGCGTCCTAGCTTTAGCACCTCTCCGTCCCCTTCGCCGTCGTCTATATCGTCTGCTCCCCATCCTTATCCTCGTCCTCGTCGTCCTCGTCCCAGTCTCTCCCCCCCCCGCCAAGGTCCCTGGACCCCGCGCTCTTCGCTAACCTGCAGCAGCTCAAGAGCTACGCCGGCAACGTGTCAGACCTGTGTTGCAGCTTTGTGGCGACCAGCGCCAGCGGGGAGGCGCGCTGGGAGCCTTTGGCAGTGCCAATGCTCTCCCTCCTCTTCCCGTTTCAGGCAGAGGGAGAGAGAGAGAGAGAAGGAGAGAAAAAGAGAGAGAGAGAGAGAAACAACAGCACAAACTGGGAGGACGGGGTAGAGGGCGTCGGAGAGGGACGTGAGAGATAGGATCGAAAAGTGGAGCAAGGGAGAGGAGGGCAGAACGAGCGAGGAAGACCGAAAGAGAGAGAGAGAGAGAGCGACACACACACACACACACCACACACACGCACACACACAACACACAACACACAACACACAACACACAACACACAACACACAACACACAAACACAACACGCAACGCATAGCACACAACACACAACACACAACGCACAACGCACAACACACAACACATAGCACGCAACACACAACACGCAACACACACAACACAACACACCACACACAACACACACAACACACACACAACACACACCTCATACTACGCACACAGAACGGATGAGGTGGTGGGAGTTGGAGAGGGAGAAGTATGAGGAAACGCGCTGCAGGACCCCCCGTTGCCATCCATCCAGAAATTGTCCATACTATCCTGTGGTGTTGGGCCCTCGTTTTGAAGAGACAGCCCCTTGTTTTCCTTCTCCTCGTTCTCTTCTCCTCCTCCCCCTCCTCCATCCTCCCGACACGCACCCCTCACATTGACACAGCCCTCACACTTTTCGTGGCCCCATAGGGAGCTCACCTAAAAGCTTCGTGGCTGCGTTCGCATGCCGCCACCCCCCTCACTGTGACACACCCCTCACACGTTTCGTGACCCCATGGGGAGCCCCACCGAAGGCCACAGTGGCTGCGCTCGCATGCCGCCACTCCCCTCACGTTGGCACAGCCCTCACGCGTTTCGTGGCGCCACAGGGAGCTCCACCGAATGCGGCAGTGGCTGCGTTCGCATGCCGCCCCCCCCCTCACTTTGGCACAACCCTCACACGATTCGTGGCCCCAGAGGGAGCTCCACCGAAGGCGCCAGTGGCTGCGTTCGCATGCCGCCACCCTTCTTACCTTGGCACGCCCCTCACACGCTTCGTGGCCCCAGAGGGAGCTCCACCGAAGGCCCCAGTGGCTGCGTTCGCATGCCGCCACCCCTCTCACCTTGGCACACCCCTCATACGTTTCGTGGCTCCATATAGGGAGCTCCACCGAATGCGCCAGTGGCAGCGTCCGCATGCCGCCCCCCCCTCACTTTCACACAACCCTCAAGCGTTTCGTGGCTCCATATAGGCAGGGAGCTCCACCGAATGCGCCAGTGGCTGCGTTCACATGCCGCCCCCCCTCACTTTGGCACAACCCTCACACGGTTTGTGGCCCCAGAGGGAGCTCCACCGAATGCGCCGGTGGCTGCGTTCGCATGCCGCCACCCTTCTTACCTCGGCACGCCCCTCACACGTTTCGTGGCTCCATAAAGGGAGCTCCACCGAAGGCCCCAGAGGCTGCGTTCGCATGCCGCGCCCGCATGTCTTCTCCCGGTTCTCCCGGTGCCTGTGAGCCGCAGCGGGTTACATCAGCATGTAACCCGTTTTGTCTGACCTCCGCGCCCCTTGCGGGCGGCCCCAACGGCAGCGCCCGCATGGCGTCCCCGCCTCATTTCGGCGCTCCCTTCACGCGTTTCGTGTCCCCGTAGTGAGTTCCACCGAAGGCGTCTTTCACAACGGCGGTGCTCACAACCGCATGTGGTTGCGTCCTTCGCCCGGATATGTTTTATTGAGGCCCGCGCGGAAAACGCCCGATCGAGCGCGGTCGCGCCCAGGCCTTTCCTAACAATATTGGAAATGGTCTACATCTGCATGAGCCTAGAAAACATGCCGCTACGTGTTGAAAGCGCGGTGGGGTGTTTACATAACTGGATACATGTTGAATCTAGAAATAAATCATTCGGCCTTCGGCCCTTCCCGCTGCCGTTCCGCTCCTCGGGCAAGTGAGGCTTGCCTTCCCGGCCGAAAACAGTTGAGAAACTCAGGGTGCTGAAGTGTTTCAATTGTTTGTTCCTTGCGGGAAAGTCATGCAGAAGCCCCCGAGACCTCATAAGAGCGCCTAGAATCGCCTCGAACTCAAGGCCCTGTTTCTTCCAGAGGAGAGTGTTTGCAATTTTCAAGTTGGGGGATTGGGAACTTCAGGCGGCCTGAGGGCAGTCCACCCAGTGCCACGCGGCATTATTGCGGACGCAAGCACGCTCCAATGCCCCTTGCTTTTGTCCCCTCCTGCTTATTCATCCGTGTCGGCTTCTCTCTCTCTCTCTCTGTCTGTTTTGTGTGTCTCTCTATCTTTCGTACATCTGTATCTGTATACATGCACAGGACATGCAACACGAATGTGCTGGCATACAGGGCCGGCGGCTCCAATGCCAGCTGCCTCGACTCTCCATGGGAGCTCCGGGCCTCCGGGATCTCTCCCCAACGGCCCAAGAGGCATCCCTGACGGCCCCCACACGGGCCGTGGGAGCCCCAACGCGCACCAGATGGCCTCTGGACGGCCAAAGGGGCCTCCAAGACCCCCCTTAGATGTCTCCATGAGCACCCCCGCCAGAGCACCAAAGAACCAAACACCATTGATTTCCTTTTGCACATGCTTTGAACACAAAAAAAACAACATTTCTGCCTTCCGCTTTCGCCACGCTCTCAGACGGCCCAAGAGGCCCCCAAGGTCGCCCCTGGACTGCTTCTCAGATGCCCCAAAAGAAGGTACCAGCACAGCCCCCGGGAGCCTCGAGCCGGCCCCCGAGACGGCCCCAAGACCCAAGACGGCCCAAGAGAGCCCCCAGAGGCCCCCATTTATGATCCAAGAACGCTCTGAATCGTTAACGGTGGCACTCCGCACGCCCCGAAGGCTCACCCACGGCTCAGCAGGCTTCCAAGACGGCCCAAGATGCTTCCAGGAGCACTCCTACGACAGCCCCGAGATACGAAATCTGTTGCTATACGCATATACATATACGCGTACATTTCGGATTTAGGCGCCCCTTACGAAGATGCCAATACAGCCCCCTGTGGCTCCAAGACCGCCCACAAGGCCTCCAGGGCCTCTTGGTCCCCAGGAAGGGCCTCCCTGGGGCCCCTTCGAAGCCCTCTTGGGGCCCTCCACCGCGGCATGAGGGCTCCCAGAGGGTATCAATGCCAAAGGCAATGCAGTCACAAGAGAGAGCGTGCGCCTGACTTACCTTTCCCTGCTCTTGGGGGGCCTTCCAACGCGGCCTGGGAGGGCTTCCAGAGCGGTTCCACAGCAGTGCTAGTTAAGTCACGCGAGAGAGCGCTCGCGTGACTCATGCATCTTTGCTCTCGAGGGCCCTCTGGAGCTCTCTTCGTGTCCTCCTGGAGCCCTTCCGAGAGCCTCTTCGAGCCCTGCAGCGCGGCCTCGGGGGGCGCCCAGATGGGTCCAATAGCAGTGCAAGTCACCGAGATGACGGTAATCACGTTGATGTTGGTTACGACGATGGCGTTAAGTTTGATGATGATGCAAATGATGACGGTGACGACGATGGCGAGTATGAGGATGACGAGGATGTTGATGATGATGATGATGATGATGATGATGATGATGATGATGATGATGTTGGTGATGATCGTAATGTTGATGGTGATGATGTTGATGATAATGTTGATGGTGATGATACTGATGCTACGGATGATGCTGCTGCTAATGATGTTTATGACGATGATGATGACAATATTGCTGCTGATGGTAATGGTACTGATGATGATGACGACGATAATGATGATGACGATGATCATAATGGGGACGACGGCAATAATGTTACTGCTACTGATGATGATTATCATGATGTAGATCAGGGTGATGATGCTGTTGATGATGAGTATGGTGATGATGATGCTGGCGATGATGATGGCGATCATGATGATGATACTGATGCCGATGATGATGACGGTAGTGGTGATGATGGTGATGATGATGATTATCATGATCTTGAGAGTGATAATGTGTTATTCTGCTTGTTGATCCGTCGGACGCACATCGACAACTTCATGTATAAACAGATCCCCCCCATCACCTCCCCGAGGAAGTGCCTTTGCTGCCAGCTGGGCATGACATTCCTGTCACGAGCGAGAACAGGCTCAAGTACGTTTATCTTCTCAGCGATTACAAGTTGAACGCCGAGCTCAAGGTCCGGACCCGCCATAACACGATGCTTTCCCTTCGTGTCCGTGGTCCGTCCAGGGAGCGATCCGGGTTCGAACCATATCTTCAATTGTCTGTTTCAACTGTCAAACTACGACACCACGGGCCTTTACAGCGGAGATGTGCGATGATCACGTCTCATTCCTCCCACCCCATGGCGTACCCATTTGGGCGAACATGTGTTTTCGGACGGCCAGCTGCTTGTCTACTTGCCTTGAAAGCGCTCTTGCAAGGGCTGTCGCACGTTTGCCTTAGCACGTGCAGCCGCAGTTAGACATGGGGCTCGATTGTGGTTGTATGGCGACGCTGCACTTTGAGCTCCTCCAGCATGATTTGATTGATGCCTCTTTTGATTCACAATTGCTGCCGCGCAGATCTGCCACTGCTCTGTGTGGGTGTTCTTGCCGCTTGCCCGAGCGAGCGGCTGGGCGGGGACAGCGTCGACGCTTCGCGTGGTCCGCCGCCCCTGCCTTGGGACCTTCGCTCTCGTCAGAGGTTTGCTGTATGCAGGTCAGCCTGCTGGGGCTTGCCTGGGGGGCTGTTCTGGTAAACTTGCTACACTGGCTCGTCCCCAACCCGAGAGACCACGGTTCCCGCGCGACCGCCTTCGTCAGAAGTGCGCTCGCAGCTCGTACCGGCGAGCTCTGCCGGTGCCCGACTGGTGGCTGTTCCAGCGCTGCGTGGGACTGTGTCTGCGTGGGGTTTTGTCTGCACGGGGGCTTTCCGAGGAGGAGAAGGTACCAATACTGCTACCCCTGCCTCGTTTTCGCCCTCTGGGGCCTCCTCGGAGGCCCTCGTCGCAACGGCTGGGTTCGCCTCGAAAGTCTGGTCAGAATGCGCCCCAAGACAGGTCTGGAGAGTAGCGGTATCGGTACCTTTTGGTTTCCCCAAGTTTTGTGTCTGCGTGGGGGCTTTTCCGTCTTAGGCTGATATTCTCACAGCGATCGGTATAAAGTCCTTAGCCGTCTAGCGCACCGCGGGGTGCCAAGCTTACAGAGAACAAGTCTGGCTCTTGTCTCTCTGATCTGGTTGGGCTGGTTTGAGCTTCGTCTTGCAGCCTTAGCTTAGGATCCGAGCGAGAGTGCTTTCGGAGAGGTCCGGCTAGGCAGCGCCCTCCACCACCACGACCGAAATGCAGTTTTTGTTTTGGCATTGCAGTTTTTCTTGCTTTGCAGTTCTTTTTGCGTTGCAGTTGTTTTGCATCTGGTCTGGCTGGTCTGGTTGGTCTGGTTTGAGCTTCGTCTTGCAGCCTTAGCTTAGGATCCGAGCGAGAGTGGTTTAGGGGAGGTCCAGCGAGGCAGCGCCAACCACCACGACGACGACCGAAATGTAGTTGTGTTTTTGCCTTGCAGCTATTTTTGCATTTCAGTTTTTTTGCATCTTGGCTTGCTGGTGTGGTGGGTCTGGTTTGAGCTTCGTCTTGAAGCCTTAGGTTAGGATCCGGGCGAGAGTGGTTTAGGAGAGGTCTGGCGAGGCAGCGCCAACCACCACGACGACGACCGACATGCAGTTTTGTTTTTGCCTTGCAGCTATTTTTGCATTTCAGTTTTTTTGCATCTTGGCTGGCTGGTCTGGTTGGTCTGGTTTGAGCTTCGTCTTGCAGCCTCAGCTTAGCATCCGGGCGAGGGTGGTTTAGGGGAGGTCTGGCCAGGCAGCGCCAACCACCCCGAATTGCATTGTTTTTTTTTGAATTGTAACTTTTGCCGTTATAGATTCAGCTTTTGATTTCGCGTGCTAGGCGAGAGTGGTTTAGGGGAGGTCCATGGACGGTCTGAAACCTACGGCACCAACGACCATGATCATAATTACAGTTTTGTCTGCATTGCTGTTTTTGTTTTGCATTGCAGCTTTTTCTGCATTGCAGCTTTGCCGTTCTAGCTTCATCGTTGGATTCCGCGTGCGAGGTGAGAGCGGTTTGGGAAGGTCCAGGGAGGGTCTGAAGACCACGGCGCCAACCACCATGATCAGAATCACAGTTGTTTTGCGCAGCTTCATTTCATTTCAGCTTTGCCGTTCTGGCTTCAGCTTTGCATTTCGCGTGCGAGGCGCGAGCTGTTTGGGGAGCTCCAGGGAGGGTCTGAAGCCCACGGCGCCAACGACCATGATCAGATTCTCAATGTTGTTGCATTGCCGTTCTGTTTTGCATTGCAGCTTTTTCGGCATTGCAGCCCTGCCGTTCTAGCTTCAGCTTTAGATTCCGCGTGCGAGGCGAGAGCGGTTTCAGGAGGTCCAGGGAGGATCTGAAGCTCATGGCGCCAACCACCATGATCAGAATTATTGTCGTTTTTGCATTGCTGTTTTACTTGTATTGCAGTTGTGTTGCATTGCAGCTTTGCCATTCTAGCTTCAGCTTTAGATTCCGCGTGCGAGGCCGGTTTGGGGAGCTCCAGGGAGGGTCTGAAGTTCACGGCGCAAACAACCATGGTCAGAGTTACAGTTTTTTGTTCATTGCAGCAGTTTGGTTTGGCATTGCAGTTTTGCCCCAACTATCCTGTGGTGTTGAGTCCTCGTTTTGAAGAGACAGCGCCCAGCGTTCCTCTCCTCTCCTCTCCTCCTCTTCTTCCCCATCCTCCCATCCCTGCCTCTGCTCTCCGCGCCAGTCAGCCATGTCGGCACAACCCTTACACGTGTCGTGGCCCCATAGGGAGTCCACCGAGGGCCCCAGTGGCTGCGCTCGCGTGGCACCACCGCACCCACTTCGGCACAACCCTCACACGTGTCGGGGCCCCTTAAGGAGTCCACCAAGGGCCCCAGTGGCTGCGCTCGCATGGCACCACCGCGCTTCGTGGCCCCATAGGGAGCTCCACCGAGGGCCCCTTCTGGCTGCGTTCGCGTGGCACCACCGCGCCCATCCCGGCACACTCCTCACACGTTTTGTGGCCCTTTAGGGAGTTCCACCGCGGGCCCCAGTGGCTGCGCTCGCACGGCACCACCGCACCCATGTCGTCACACCTCACACGCTTCGTGGCTTCATGGGGAGCTCCACCGAGGGCCCCAGTGGCTGCGTTTGCATGGCACAGCCGCACCCATGTCGGCACACCCAAAACACGTTTCGCTGCTCCAAAGCAGCTCCACCGGGGTCCTCAGTGTCTGCGCTCGCATGGCACCACCGCACCCATGTCGGCACAACCCTCACACGCTTCGTGGCCCCACAGGGAACTCCACCGTGGGCCCCAGTGGCTACGCTCGCACCGCATGGCACCACCGCAATCATGTCGGCACACCCGTCGCACGCTTCGTGGCCCCATAGGGAGCTCCACCGAGGGCCCCAGTGGTTGCGATCGCATGGCGCCACCGCACCCATCCCGGCACACTCCTCACACGTTTCGTAGCCTTAGGGAGTTCCACCGCGGGCCCCTTCTGGCTGCGGTCGCATGGCACCACCGCGCCCATCCTGGCACACCCCTCACACGCTTCGTGGCCCCACAGAGAGCTCCACCGAGGGCCCCAGTTGCTGCGTTCGCGTGGCACCATCGCACCCATGTCCTCACACCTCACACGCTTCGTGGCTTCATGGGGAGCTTCACCGAGGTCCCCAGTGTTTGCGCTCGCATGGCAACACCACACCCATGTCGGCACAACCCTCTCACGTGTCGTGGCCACATAGGGAGCTCCACCGTGGGCCCCAGTGGCTGCGTTCGCATGGCACCACCGCGCCTATGTCTGCCTACCCTTCACACGCTTCGTGGCCCCATAGGGAGCTCCACCGAGGGCCCCTTCTGGCTGCGTTCGCGTGGCACCACCGCACCCATCCTGGCACACTCCTCACACGTTTCGTGGCCCTTTAGTGAGTTCCACCGCGGGCCTCACTGGCTGCGCTCGCATGGCACCACCGCACCCATGTCGTCACACCTCACACGCTTCGTGGCCCCACAGGGATCTCCACCGAGGGCCCCAGTGGCTGCGTTTGTATGGCACCGCACCCATGTCGGCACACTCCTCACACACTTCGTGGCCCCATAAGGGGGCTCCACTAGGGTCCCCAGTGGCTGCGCTCGCATGGTGTCACCGCACCCATGTCAGCACAACCCTCACACGTGTCGTGGCCACATAGGGAGCTCCACCGAGGACCCCAGTGGCTGCGCCCGCATGGCACAACCGCACCCATGTCGGCACACCCCTTACACGCTTCGTGGTCCCAAAGGAGCTTCACCGAAGGCCCCACTGGCTGCGCCTGCATGGCACCACCACGCCCGTCTTGGCACACCGTTCGCACGTGTCGTGGCCACATGGAGCTCCACCGAGGTCCCTAGCGTCTGCGCTCCCATGGCACCACCGCGCCCATGTCGGCACACCCCTCACACGCTTCGTGGCCCAAAAGGCCCTCCACCGAGGGCCCCATTGGCTGCACTCGCATGGCACCACCGCACCTATTGTGGCATACCCCATCACAGGCTTCGTGGCCCCATAGGGGGTCAACCGAAGGCCCCAGTGGCTGCGCTCGAATGGCACCACCGCACCCATCCCAGCACCTCTCACACGCTTCGATGCTCTCACACGCTTCGTCGCCACCGAGGGCCCCAGTGGTTGCGCTCGCAGGGCACCACCGCGCCCATGTCGGCACAACCCTCACACGCGTCGTGGACACATAGGGAGCTCCACCGAGGGCCCCCGTGGCTGCGTTCTGAGGCACCACCGCGCCCATTTCGGCACATTTCTCACACGTTTCGTGGCCCCCAATAGAGCTCCACCGAGGGTCCCAGCGGCTGCGCTCGCATGGCACAACCGCACCCATGTCGGCACACCCCTTACACGTTTCGTGGCTCCAAAGGAGCTCCATCGAAGGCCCCACTGGCTGCGCTCGCATGGCACCGCCGCACCCATGTCGTCACACCGCTCGCACGATTCGTGGACCCATAGGGATCATCACCGAAGGCCCCACTGGCTGCGTTCGCATGGCGCCACCGCACCCATGTTGGCACACCCCTCACTCGCGTTTGCATGCGCTCACCGCGCCCATTTCGATACATCCCTCCCCCGCTTCGTCGCCCCATAGGGAGCTCCACCGAAGACGACACTCACCACTGCGTTATTCACAACTGCATATGGTTGGGTCCTTCGCCGGGGCAATTGCATTGCAGTTTTGCCGTTCTGGCTTCAGCTTTGGATTCCGCGCGCGAGGCCAGAGCGGTTTGGGGAGGTCCAAGGAGGGTCTGAAGCCCACGGCGCCCACGGCGTCGGGAGGCTATCTTGGGCGTCTTGGACCAATCGGTCGGCGACTCGGAGCCCTCTTTGACCATCTTAGGAGGGGCCTCTTAAGGCCGTCTTGGAGCGCTTTGGGGGTCCGGAAAACCGCCCCAGAGAGTTCCGGCATCCTTGGGCGGATTTTGCCGTGACTTTGTTGGGGTACTTAACGTCGGGGGACTTCTAGGGGCCGACCCGCGCGCGCGAACTAGACATATCGTTTACCAGTTGCCGGAATTTTTAGCACGCCTCTGGCCCGTTGGGCCGGCGAATTAAGGTTTTAGAAGGGTCACGGCCTCTTGGAGGCCTCTCGGGGCGCAATGAAGTCATCTTGGAGCCATCTGGGGCTTCTCTTTGGCCTCCCTTGGGCCATCTTGGAGGCTATCGACCAACAAAGAAGGCGGTGTCAATTTGGATCCCCCCGTCGGAACCCTCAAATCGCCTCTTGGAGCTCTCTTGGGACGCTTTTGGGGCGGTCTTGGGCGCTCTTGGGGCCGTCCTGGGCCTCTCTTGGACCCTTCTTGGACCTCTCTTGGACCCCTCTTGTGGATCTCTGGGTCCATCCCAGAACCATCTCGAGACTTCAGAAGCCCATCCGAAGCGAAAAGGCAAGAGGGCAAACAAACACGTTGATTTCTCTTATGTGTTGCACGGTTGATGGCCTCTCCAGGGCGTCCTTGGGAGGCCCTTTGGCCACTTAGAGCCGTCTTGGAGGGATCTTGAAGTCTCTTGGAGGTCTGTTGCGAACTATATTTGGCCATGCTTGGCTACCTTCAGCGATCTTGGAGGCCATCTTTAGCTCTTTGGGGCCATCTTGGAGCCATCTTGGGCCATCTTGGACGCTCTGACCGCTCGGGAGGGGGCAGCGAGAGGGGGTCCAGCCAGAGGAGGTACTGAAGAGGCAGAAGGGGGTTGGAAGAGGGGGGTATCAAATCATTCACGCCCTCAGGGGCTGGTTGGATTTTGGCCCCCTCCTCTGGGACCGTCAAAATCGCCTCTTGGGGCCCTCTGGGGCCCCTCTTGGTCGCTTCTTGGAGCCCTCTTGGGGCGTCTTGGGCGTCTCTTGGCAGTCCCGGGAGCCGCTTGAAGCGTCTTGGCTGCCTCTGGGGGGGGGAATGGCTCTTGAGGCCTCTTGAGGGCCTCTTTGAGACCCATATCAGTTCTTCTGCCCCAGAGCAAAGTAAGGCGCTGGGGCATAAGAACGTTTCGCCTCAAGCGGCCCAGAATATGGTCTAGTTGCCATATGCGTGCGTCACCGGGCATAAGTGGGCGTCGTACTCTCTGGGGTAAACAAATCGAAATTACAACGTTGTGGGGGAGCAGTGTGTGGTCTTACGGGGTTGGGGGGCGGCTGGCACGTGGAAGAATCTCGTAGGCGACTCCTCGCCCCCGGTCAACGAGTTCTTCCCGAAAAGCAGGGGCACACCCCCAGGCGTGCCTTCGGATGCGCCACTCTCGAGGATGGGTGCCCCCCAACGTGTATCCCAGAGCCAAACCCTACATGATTGGTCCTGTCGAAAGTCCCAGCAAGATGGGGACTGGGGTTGGAATCTCTCTTGTTAGAAACAGCAGAGGGCGGATGCCACGGAGTCTCGCACACCAGGCTGGCTCCTCGGCGTTCCTCGCTGGCTTCCAGCGCCTCGTGGACGAGCGATGGCTGCGAATGTTCGACGAGGACGAGCTGCAGCAGGCTGCCAGCTCCCCTCCGCCTCCTCCCCCGTCCTCTTCTTCATCCTCCCCCTTCCTCCGCCTCCTCCCCTTGCTCTTCCTCCTCCGCCTCCCTCCATCCCCCTACTCTTTCCTCATCCTCCTCAGCCTCGGAGGAGGGAGAGCAATTTTCAGGCATCCTGCTATTGTATACGCTTGTCTTTTCTCTTGTGCACTTTGGTCGATCAGCCTGTTGACCTCGGCTGTTGCTGCCTGCTCTGCCTACCTCTCCTCCTCTCAAGGAGCTTAGGCTGTAGCACCCCATTGCCACTTCTACTCTTCGTCGTCGTTGTCCTTCATCACTTTGCGCATGACGTTGGCATGTCGCACACGAAACCAGAGCGCATCCTGAGTTTCGGCCCACCCGCCGTGCTCTGGTATGGCCGCCCTTCTGGACGTATGTCGACGCCTCCTTTTCTTCTCTGACTAACTCCTGCACTCATGTGGTACTGGTTTTCCTCCTCTTTTGGCGGCGTCTTCCTCGTATTCCTCCGCTGATCGGCGTCAACAGGTGACATTGGTGACATCTGTCCCGACCAGCCGCCTGTTCTTTCGAGAGGGCGGTCGAGTTTGCAGGCTTCTACTACTTATCATCCTCCTCTTCCTCTTGCTCGGCCTCTCCCTCTTCCTCTTTTCCCGAAGGAGATGACCGGCTGGGAAGCAGGATTGGCGGGCTATTTCTGTCCCGCAGCAAGTCGATGCCGTCAAAACCGCCTTAACCAACATGCCTGACAATCATACGAGCCATTATTCCTCCTCCGCCTGATGCTCCACGGACATACAGCTGTCTGAGGACTGACATCCAGATGTCTGATGACTCTGCGTTGAGCCAGCCGACTTGGAACTCATCGAAGTTTCCGGTCCTCCTCCTCCTCCTCCTCCTCCTCCTTCCTCCTCCTCCTTCCCCATTCGCGCTTACACTTAGGCATCGCCAGGACAACGCTAGACCGACGCCAGGACTACTTCAGGACGACGCCGGGACCACGCAAGGACAACGCGATGACGACGCAAGGACAACGCGAGGACAACGCCAGGGCAACGCCAGGACAGCGCCAGGACAACGCCAGGACAACGCCAGGACAGCGCCAGGACAACGCCAGGACGACGCCAGGACATCTCCAGAACAACGCCAGGACAGCGGCAGGACAACGCCAGGACAGCGTCATCCACGAACGCCCAGCACGGCGCATGCTAAAGGCCCATCGCAAGCACACGCGCCCGTTGGGGGCTCGGGGCGCAGTTCGTTGTGTGTTGAAGGGTGCAGGAGTGGCGAGAGGACGACAACCAGGTGTGCACTGGCGCGCGAGGCAGGGAGGGCGGCGCCGAAGTTTCTCCTAGGCCACCCGACTCCCCCCCCAAAAAAAAATCCCCAGAGATCCCGTGTCCTGTTTTCTTCGACACGGGCCCCCAGACGTCCCGAGCCATTCCCCAGTTCCGCCCTTTCAACTTGAGCTGTGTTTTGCTTGTCCAGGGGCCCGACAACGTCCACCAGAGGCCCGACATGCCCAAACCATTTGTCCTGATGCTGTGTTGCGAAGCGCTGGTGGGAATATGGGTCGCCCGACGAGGGGAAGTTGAAGCAGGGGGCGAAATGGCGTCGTGGGCCGCAAGAGCCGCATTGGACGCGTGCCCAGGTCATCAGCGGCTCGCGGGGCAGCGGCGTGGACGTTGACGATCTTCAGCGTCACGCCCAGTTCCACAACTGCAGCGCCAAGGAGGGGATGGCCATATCCTGCCTTTTTCGCCCTCCTTTTCCTACTCCCTTCCGCCTTCCTCTTTCCTCTGCCTGTCCTCCCCCAGACATTGTCGCGTCGAGAGAAAAAACGCGACGGGAGAATTTTGGCCGATTGCGGCCTCTGGGGGCCTTTGCAGGGCTCTTGGGCTGTCCAAAAAGAACTCAGGATGGAGAGCTGCCCTGGGAAAAGGGTCGGGACTTCCGGGGACCCCACATGGTACAATCATGACATCGGATGTCATCTCCCCGCCCCCCGGTGGAAGCCACGAGCTTCGGTCCAGTTCAGTCCGTTGTGCGCCCGGTTCGGTGCGGCCAGCCCGGCCCTTGTGGCACATTTTCTCGTCAGCGGCGACTTGGGCCCAAGACGCGGTCAAAGCAACGGCGGGACGCATCCGTGGGGAATGAAGGTGAGGGAGGGGCTCGCTGAGAGGCTACAGTTTTGGTGCGCGTGTGCCAGAGCACAGGCTTCTGCACGGGCAGCAGACGTGAGTCGTGAGGCGGCCATTTTGTTGTACACGAGTTCGGTGCGTGCCTGGTTCGGTGCGGCAGGTAAGGCTCGCGTCGCAGGCAGGTTCGGCTCAACCGGTTCGGTGCGGCTGGCTCGGTTCAAGCGGCTCGGTCCAGGGGGTGGGCAGCCCAAGGGAGGGGAGTGGAAGACCAGCCAGCGGCTGTTTCCACAGCAGAAACCATTGCACTGGATTATGTTTTGTCGTATCTGCACGCTCTCCTTTCCGATTCCCAGCATAATTTGTGTTAGCAGCTGAAGGCGAGCGCGCCAACGACGAGTGAGGTCCGAGCGGACCGCGCGTGGGCCTACAATATTCCAAGCATAAGCGGAGCAAGACGAATTGATGCCAGACTCTCGGGGAGCGGCAGTCCCCTTCCCTCCATGCTTCATGAGTTGACAACTAGAACCCACACCCCCATATCTATGTGCGACGCCCAGATTTCTCGGGATGGAATTCCGGGGATGCTCAAAGTCTTTGCTGTCGGATGGGGGTCCTCGCTCGAATGGGAATCCCCCTGGAGGGCCCCAAACTCACCGCCTTGCCCTTCCTCGTTCCTCCTCCCTATACGCTTTAGGGCGTGTCGTTCCTTCATCAACGCCGGGACTGTCCCCCTCCATGCCTCGCGGCTGAGCGCACAGCTCCCCAGGCTTTTGGCTTGCAGAGCTGGCGAGGAGCCGTGCGCCGAGCGAGACGGCGGGTCTCTCGCTCCAGCGCCCGTGGCTTCCCGAGTGTCGGCATCACGGCCGGTTGCTCGCAGGGGGGAGGCGCTAGGAGGAGAAGAGGAGGAGCAGCGGGGTCGCGGAAACGCAAGATCTGGGTCTACTCGGGCGAAGAAATCTATGCATATTCACTGCTCCCTGTCCAGGCCCATCCTGAACCCAGCAGCGGTGTATACGCTCTCCTGGCCACGCCAGGAGGGCGTATGGTTCAGGATGGGTTCAGGATGGGCCTTGACAGGGAGCAGTGAATATGTATAGATTTCGTTGCCCTACCGAGGCACGTGGATTGGCGGCGGGTCTCGTTTTGCATACAACGCTGACGAGCTCCGTCGCCAAATCAGGCGGCACTGGCTCCACGTTTCGGCGTGTGTGCTCCCCGATCCGTGGATCTGGCGCCCGCGTGCATCCACGGATCCGTAATCCATGCTGGCGTGTGCCCGACAAGGGGTAGGACGAGGAGGGAAGGGAGCCCTGACATCCTCGCGCCGTCTCGTTCCTGGGAGTAGGGCACCCTGTGCGCAAGTAACGATCCGTGGCCGCAGCGCTGGTGAGAATGAACGGGTGGGCGCATGCATAATGTGCGCCAGGTGGCTGTCACGAACATGTGGCGTCGTGTGTCTATGTGTGTGTGATTAGGTGTGTGTACGCGCGTTACTTTGCTACCCGCCTCGCGCTTCCACAGTGGTCGACGCGCCTCTTCCAGCTGTCTCTGACTAGTCCGTCTTGCGTGACCGCTGGTCGGGGTCTCCTTCCGCCGCTGGCCCTGGCGCGGCCGCCTCATCCACAACGCTGGGTGCGATTCGTGTTGACGCGCACCGTGCATTGATGATCTGCGACAGCGGTGTCACTTCGCCTGCGGAGGACGAAGTGTTTCTGATGCAGGCTGACCAGGTGTACCGTGGGTGCTACACTCTACGCCCTACGCATTTGTGTGTGCATCCCTGCCCCTGGCTTCTGAGTGGGCCGGCCGCGCGCGTCTCCCCCTCCCAGCTGTCCGACCTTCCACGCGGCCGCGACGCCGCAACAAACTGTGTGTGTGCGCGTCCGTGGCGATCTGGGTCAAGCCCAGCTCAATCATTCTCGGCTCCAGGTGGCTTGCGCGGCCCAGGGCCCAGGACCCAGACAAGGGGTCCGCCTGCGGCAGCGCCGTCGGGGACCGAGGGTGCGGGGCGGTTTCTTGGCACGAGCCCCACCAGGGACCGCAGCTCTGGAGTAATGCGAGGGAGGGTGAGCGGGCGGGAGGACAAGCTGGCCGCGGACTTCTTCAGCGCAGTGAAGGCGATGTCTCCCGAGCGCCAGGCGCGCTCGGATGCCTGGCATGTGCTGCCGACCATCCTCGGTATACCTCCTCTTCGTCCGCTTCCTCATCCCCCACGCCTGACTCTGAGTCTTCTGCTCATGTGTTGCAATCATGTTCCGTGTCTTAGTTGTTTATCTGACCCCAGCTTTCGCAAACGGGTTCACTTATTGCCGAGTCATACGCGTGCCACCCCATATCATAAACAGCGCTTTGAAGTATCCCGCAGAGCACCATTGAAGTATTGAGCAGAGCACCATTCTCTAATTGGCCAGTCAGCGCTCCCTCTCCCGAGGGCAAAGCGAGTGCACGAAGTCGGCATGCGGGAAAGTGGTCACAGGGAAGAAATGGGTCCTGAAACCCAGGGCTTTCTTTAGGAATGGCTGTTCTCATCCAGAGCTGCTTTTTGTCGGCTCTGGGGCCCGAACAGGGCCCTGGGATCCCGAACACGGCGAACAAAACCTCCAGGACCTCGTTGCTCCAAGTCCCGCCTTTGTTTAGCTGGGCGGAGGTCCGGTTGCTCCTAAGAAAGTGGCCTGCGCGAGAGTGACCTTTGTTGCAGTGCTTTCGGGTGGAGACGAGGGGGGCCAAACCCAAGCGCGCAAGCCGCTACTCAACTGCCGCACCGCAAGCATCGGCCAGCAAGCCGCGCCCCAGACGTTATTCTTGCCCGGAGTTGCATGCAGCCGAGATGACCGCGCTCCGAAGCGCGAACTTGCCCTGCCCCCCTCCCTGCAGCGGCAGAAGGTGTTGCTGCTCCGCTTTGTGACCTCCTGCTCGCGCACGCCCCTGCTGGGCTTCGGACACCTGGTGCCTCCCTTCACGCTGGTCAAGGCGGGCACCGCCCCATGGGCGAGGAGAGGGAGGTCTCTGGAGAGGTCTCTGGAGAGGTCTCCTGAGCCCCAGGAGATGCCCAAGGCGGCCAAGCACATGCTGCAAATGACAGCGTTCGCCAGCGTGGGCCCCAACCAGCGAGGTACTGCACTGGAGGTGCAAGCGGTGTGGTGTGAGCTGCGTGGTGCAAGCTGTGCCGTGGAAGTTGTGTGGCGAGAGCTGCGCAGTCTGAGCCACGCGGGTGGTGTGAGCTGCGCTGTGCGAGCTCTGCTGCACACCAAGGGCACGGGGAGGCCACGAGCGCCCACGAGGCGCCCACGGCTGGGCACCGCACGCGGCGAGCCCTCGGTGGACCCACCCCAGGGCACGGGGCGCCCCCAAGCGCCCACGGGCGGGAACGTGGGGCATCTTCGGCGGAACCGCCCAGCGACCCACGAAGAACACTGCCTGGGGAGCAGCGGGGAGGGGCATGGGCAGCAGCACCAGCGAGGAGCCTCTGAGGAGCCAGGCTGGCGGCAGAGGCTCACAGGCTCCTCTGCCCCTCTGCCTGCCTCCTGAGCCACCACCTCACAGAGACTGGAGCCGGCCCAGCGAGGGCCACCGGAGGAGCAGCCACAGCAGGCGAGCGGAGCCGGGGGAGCACCGGCAGGCCAGGAGAGGGGGGAGCGAGAGGAGCGCGGAACCCCGCCGTGGGCGGGGGGCCGCCCTCTCCTCCCTTGCAGGAAGGGGCCCTGGGACACACAAATAAATACACACAAATAGAAAGAGTCCCCTATCTTTTCCCGTGTTTTCGGTGTTCTTGTCTTCCCGCCCAATTCCCATATTTACTTGGGAATCGACGATTAATTGTGTCTGTGTGTTTTTTCCCCCCTGATTGCAGCGGGGCCGCCCGGGCCCGGCAGAGGTGCCGCCGTGTCCCGCCGCCCCTCGGGGGCGGCCAGGTCGACCACGCGCGGAGGGGCCTCTTGCGGGAGTGACCTTTGGTGCGGGCCTAGGGGGTGAGGAAGAGGAGGAGGAGGGAGGGGAGGAGAGAGGAGGAGGAGGAGGAGGAGGAGGAGGAGGAGGAGGAGGAGGAGGAGGAGAGGAGGAGGAGGAGGAGGAGGAGGAGGAGGAGGAGGAGGAGGAGGAGGAGGAGGAGGAGGAGGAGGAGAAGGAGGATATAGTACATCGACGCCTCGAGCCTGAGGAGAACAAGGCCCTGCGCCAAGCCACGTCCGAGTGTGGGTCGCCTCCAGGCGTGGACGGCACGCCGCGCCCCGCGGCGGGCCCTCTCCGGAGGCCCTCGAAGGCCGCCGGAGGAGCCCCCGGCGAAGGCCTTCGTGGGCCGCCGGAGGCCTTCGAGGGCTTCCTTCGGGGGCCGGGGAGGGCCGCCGAGGGCCGCCGAGCCTGCGGCTGCTCAGGGCCACGCCGCGGCCCGCGGAGGGGTTGGACGCAGAACCAACCTGCATCAGCACTGTGAGGAGGATGGCACTCAGGCAGGGCTCACTTCGACTATTCCGGTTCCGATTCGCTTCGGCTTCGGACGCCGAGTCGGATTCGGTTTCTCAACGGGGGCCCCACTCTTGCCTGCCGGTTTGCCGATGGCTTGTTCTCTTCCGATTGGCTGCAGGTTCTCACCGACCCGAGGCATTTCAATCGCCAATCCGACTTTCCTTTTCGACTCCAGGCTCTGCTGTTCAGAGGCGTCGGGCTGCCTCCGAAGAGGCAGGGTCCCGCGCACGCGGAGGCCACCGTCGAGGGGCGGGCCGATAGGGCCAGTGGGGATGCGAGAGGGGAGAGCCCCCTCACTCGGCCAGGGCGGGGGGAGGGAGGAGTCATGGAATCCATGAAGCGAGCAGGTGCTCTCCCGAGACAACTGGCAATCGTAGGGCCACGTCTTCTTTCGGGTTGGCGCAGCCCCCCCTCTTGGCGGCCCTCCAGCGGCGCCTTGGCGCATTCCTCGGCCAGAGATCGAGTAGGGGAGCGTTTACATAATTGATTTACCCCAACTGGTTGTTAGTCGGATCCACGAAGAAAAGATGTAGAATATTTGTAGATCTACAACGGTCAACGCATTTTCCTTGCACTCGGTGAGAAAACAGTTTGGGGGTAAATCAATTACGTAGCACCCCGCAATTGCGGATAAGAGTGAGGGGGCGGAGCGCGGGCGCGGCGCGGCGACGAGGGCGTCGTCTCGCCGGCCCCCTCGTGGCTGTCGATGGCGCTCTCTCCTCCTCCTCCTCCTCCTCCTCCTCCTCCTCCTCCTCCTCCTCCTCGTCCTCCTCCTCCTCGTCCTCGTCTTCGTCCTCATCGTCATCGTCATCATCCTCCTCCACCTCGTCCTCCTCTTCTTCCTCGTCCTCCCCCCCTTCCCGTCCTTTCATCATCGTCCTCCCATTGTCGTCCTCCCCCTCATCGGCCTCCATCATCGTCGTCCCATGGTCGTCCATCATCATCATCATCATCATCATCATCATCATCATCATCATCATCATCATCATCATCATCCCCCTCCTCCCCCTCCTCGTCCTCCTCCTCCCCCTCCTCCCCCTCCTCGTCCTCCTGCTCCTCCTCCTTTTCTTTCTCCACATTATCCTTACATCCTCTCTTCTTCCGCGTTCTCCTCGTCCCCTGTTTACTCCTCCTGCCTCCCCCTCCTTTCCCAAGATAACTGCAACGCAATCCTTTTTTCCACTTTATGCTCCCCGCCTTCTCTGATCAAGGCAACTCGCCAGGGCAAAGTTGCTGGAGGGGCTGGTGTGGATGCGCGGGGCTTGAAGAGGTCCTTGCGGGTTCAGACGGCATGCAAAAATCCGCCGCCGCGCTTGTGCGGCATTGGTTTGTTCAGCGAACGTGGTTTACGTCGCGGGTGGGTCGCGGGCTCTCCACCTCCACCTGGAAGGAATGCAAAAGCAGCCCGCCGCAGGCGCCACACAAATTGGTTTGTACACTGAACGTGGTTTGGGTCGCGGGTGGGCCGCGGGTTCTCCACCGGGAACGAATGCAAAAGATGCCCGCCGCAGGCGCCGAACATTGCGGTTTGTACCCTGAACGTGGTCGCGGGTGGGCCGCGGGCTCTCCACCTGAAACACGAATGCAAAAGATGCCCGCCGCAGGCGCCGAAAAATGTAGTTTGTACCCTGAACGTTGGCTGGGTCGCGGGTTGGTCGCGAGTTGGTCACGGGGTCGGTCGCGGGCTCTCCACTTGGAAGGAATGCAAAAAAAGCCCGCCGCAGGCGCCGAAAATTATGTTTTGTCCCTTGAACGTGGTTTGGGTCGAGGTGGGTCGCGGGTGGGTCGCGGGGTAGGTCGCGGGTGGGTCGCGGGTGGGTCGCGGGTGGGTCGCGGGGTGGGCCGCGGGCGGGTCGCGGAGTGTGTCGCGGGGTGGGTCGCGGGGTGGGTCGCGGGGTGGGTCGCGGTGTGTGTCGCGGGGTGGGTCGCGGGTGGGTCGCGGGTGGGTCGCGGGTGGGTCGCGGGTGGGTCGCGAGGTGGGTCGCGGGTTGGGTCGCGGGTGGGTCGCGGGGCGGGTTGCGGGTGGGACGACGACAACAAACAACAACAACAACCAACAACAACAACAACAACAACAACAACAACAAACAACAACAAACAACAACAACAACAACAACAACAACAACAACAACAACAACGATAATCCGCACCGCGGAATTCCACTTCAGCCACGCACCCAGGGACAGTGAATGACCGTTCGGCCCCCTCACTCTGATTTATGGAGTCGGTCTCCTACTCGGGGGGAGGGGGTCCAGCGCCGATTCAAGACGGGCGGACTTCCGAAGGTCACCGTGAATGCAGATCCTGCGCTATTTAACAAATATGGGCAGGCTTGTAAAAAAGGTTTTGTTTATGTCGACCTACTGCACCACAGTGTGAAAGGCTCGGTTGGCCTTGGAACATCGAGGTTTGTGGGCGTGCTCGATTTCGTAGGGTCCCCGATGGCATTCATGCCGGCTTGGGCGCGTGCCCCGTCTTCCACCCTCTTCACTCCTTGATGGCCTGAAGAGGCGAGGACGACCTGTTTCCCAACGTCCTCCGTCGTTGTCCTCCTTATCCTTCTCTCAGAGAAGAAACCACATATTTTTGAACAAGATACTGCAGAAGCATAAACTTTCGGAGGTTCGCGCGGATTTCTGGGATCGGCGCTGGAGGTCCCTGGGCAGCGCCTCTGTCGCCGTCTCTGGCGCGTTCCGCGCGCCGCTGGGGAGGGGGTTCAACGCCGATCCAAAAGTCTGCGCGGACCTCCGAAAATTTAGGTTTACGCATGCTTTCAACTTCGATTCTCCTTGCCCAGGGGGGAGGGGATCTGAGAGCGTGTCTCGTGGAGGTGTCCGTCAGGAGCGACAAGGAGAAGTTGCCGACAGCGTCCACGTGCTTCAACACGTTGAAACTGCCGACGTACTCGAACTGGAGGCCAGATCGCGGCGAGTCCTCCTGCTCCTCCGCATTCGTCCAGCCCGGCTGTAGACCAGCTCGCGACCAGACGGGGGACCCTGGGCTCCCGCCGGAGTGCCAGGAAGCTGGAGGCGCACGGCTTGCACAGCCTGCGCGAGAGCCGGACACGCACGTGGCCGCACGTCTGCCAGCTTTCGGGCCAAAGCGTAGCAAGGTACGCCGGCCCGGCGCACGTGTATCCAGCGCGTGGCCTCCGCATGCGCCGAGTTTGGATCCAGCCATTTGTGTGTGCGCGCGTGTGTGTGCGCGCGTGTGTGTGCGCGCATGTGTGCGCGCGTGTGTGTGTGTGTGCGTGTGCGTGTGCGTGTGTGTGTGTGTGTGTGTGTGTGTGTGTGTGTGTGTGTGTGTGTGTGTGTGCGTGTGCGTGCGTGCGTGCGTGCGTGCGTGCGTGTGTGCGTGTGTGTGTGTGTGTGTATGCGTGTGTATATGTGTGGTGTGTGCGCCTGTGTGTGTGTGGTCCAGCTTCCTGGGCCCTGGGATCCCAGCGCTTGCTTCCTACGCCCGTGGCCGCCAACAGCGCCCTCTTTCTGCCTCCGCAGGCCCGTGCTCTGGAACTCACGAACGAGAGCTTCGTGCTCGGAGCGTGCTCCGCTGCCCGCGGCTTCCTCGCCCGGCGCCCGCGATTTTTCCCGCTCCCGGCTGTGCCCAGTCCGGCCCCGCGGTGCCCCTTCGGTTGCCTCCGACCGCGGCACGGTGCCAAGCCGCTGCGACTACAACGGGTCCCAGGTTCCCGGTCGACGTGCCCTTCCAGTCAGCTGCCATCCCCACCACGAGAAGCGCCGCTCCTCGGGCAAAGGCAGTGGTGTTTTGCGCGGGGTCTCGGCGGGCCGAGGCCTCGAGCAGGGTGCCATCGAAGGCCGCCAGCTGAGGGCTTGCGATCTCGGGGGCGACTTTGGAGGGGGGGGCGGGAGGAGGGCGGAGCGAGGAGGGAGGAGGGAGGAGGAGAGGGAGGAGGAGAGGGAGGAGGAGGAGGGGCATAGGATGGTTTCTCATCCTTGTGCCTTAGACGGTGGGCTAGAACTGGGGGCGCCCTGTGGGCTACCCATGATATCAGAGCCTCGAGAGATCAGTGCAGACGGTAGCCACAGATAATTTACTGCTGATTTGTTCCTGCCGATGTTGCGCTGGAGCTTCCCTGATTGGACTTTGCTGCAGCTCTCTCAGAGCACGTTCTGCCACGCAGGTCTGTTCAATGCTCTGTTGGCGCAGGAGAACCCCGAATCAGCAGTTCTAGGGTTCTCCTGGAACGGCCGTAGGGTTTCAAGATGGGCTGTTCAAAATCCGCTGGAGTCCTTAGGGCATGCATCCGCGCGCAGGGCACATACTCAACGTTTTCTTCTTTCAACGCCATGCCGGGATTGCCCGTTCCATGGCCATCCTTGATCGTTTGATTTCTCAACAGGACATCGACTCGCATGGGCCCGATTGAGCGGAAAGGGCAGGAGAAGGAGAAGGGCGAGACATTTTTGCGGTGGTATGTACAAGAGGAGGAGAGGATGGTGAGGAGGATGAGAAGGAGAGAGAGAGAGAGAGAGGATGTGCATGGAAGGGGGGATTATGATGTTGAGGGGAAAGGTGGAGGAGGAGGAGTAGGTGGAAAGGGGGGACAGGGCTTGGAGGAGGAGAGGTGAGGAAAGGGTGATGAGGTGGGAGAGCAGACGGCCTGTTCCTCCGCCCCCCCTCCTTCTCCCTAGTTCTCCCGACTCTCCTCGCCCTCCTTCCGCCCCAGCTGCACCCTGGGTCTCCCCCAGGCTCCCAGAGGTATGCCCAGGGCCCCAGGCGACCGCTGAGGTCGGTGGGCATCCCTCACACCGCTTGTCCCGTGGTAGGGCTATCCGCCCGTGCACGCATCGGTCATGCCGATTCTTCCGCAGGGGGCGATGGGCTTCAAGGGTCAGATTTCGCTAACACCTGCAACTTTTAATCCCTGGCCTTCTCTGTCCGTCTTCGGGATGGTCAAAGCCAGTGATCAGAGACTGGAGGCGCAGCCAGGATGAAACGGCTTGCGGCCTTTCTGTCCGTCCCTTCGTCGCTGCCGCACCCATTGCCACCGCCGCTGGTTATGTCTGAGACCTGGCATGTAAATCTGGCATCCTATCTGGCAGCCAACCCGCAGGAGCGCGCCTCCTTTGGATGACAACTCCTCCACCCGTGCCGTGGCTGACTCCGTGCTGTGCTGCAGCAGGATGGCATTATCTTGATTGTGTTATATTGTTTGATTTCTTTTAGCCTGGCGCCTGATGTCCGGCGGCACTCACGTTTTGACGCCTCATGTTGAGTCATGCTGTCCGATCCCATATTCTCCCAAAAAACGAAACATGCCTGGCATGGCCAAGTTCGCCCTCTCCTCCTCCATCCATTCGGGCATCCCGAGGCCCGCATATGGGTTCCCATGGGTGTCCGCGGGTCCGTCGGTTCGTCTGCGTCGCAGTCGACTGCGTTCGATCGGTTCGGTTCGATCGGCTGCTGCTGCTGCGCTGCGTTCTGGGCGTACTTCTAGGCTGCGTTCCGTCCATTGGTTTCGGTGCGTTTCGGCTTCGCTGTCGGTTCTGCCGATGTTCGGTGTTGTTGTCGCCGTGGATGCCTTTGGGTCCGGGTCCACCTAAGTCCCGACCCTTTCCACAGGGTTGCCTTTTTGACGGTCACGTGGCTTGGCGAGACCCCTGGAGGACGAACGCCGTGAAAATCCTCAGCGTTGTTTTTGTCAACGTGCTGGAGGTATGGGGTCCATATCCACTGCCTCCTGGGGTCCTGAGACGTCGGCTCCCAAAGCGGCGAGATGCGTGTAAACTTTGGCCTCGAGTGCGGAGTTCCTCTGGGAGTGGGTCGCCCCTTCGCTTCCGCCCTCCGGTGCCATCGGCCTGCAGACGCCTGGCCTCGTGTTTGTTGTTGTGCAGCGTGAGCCCCTGTCCAGCCCTTTCCCTGTTTTTCACCCCGAGTCGTCGGCCCCCGGAGGTCGAACCTTGGGAGGGCTGGCACGCGGATGGAAAGAATGGTGAGGAAGGCCAGCAGCTCGGACGCTGATCGAACCCCTACGCTAGCTTCATGCGGCGATGGCGCACCGGCGATTCTGGCGAAGGCGTTTGAGGTTGAATTCCGCATGATAGAGCGACGCGGAGGCACCGAAGGACACGGCAACGCCAGAGGACCCAACGAATTCAATCTTGAACGGTCGGGTCCGCGAGCAGCGTAAGGCTGAACGACCGTCATCGTGTCACAAACCTTTGCGCGTGCCGACGCCGCGCGAACCTACCTTACCCTGCCAAGTCGAGGAGTGACGTGCCCTTCTTCCGCTCTCGAAAGGACAGTGCGGCCGCAATGTCTGCGAGCCTGCTCACGCTTGGTGTGGTCCCCGGTTGTTTGCACTAAAGGGTGTTTTGCTGAAGGGGGTCAGGTCCACCCCCCGGAAAAGCAGCTTTCGCCCATCTGAAAAGGACGCGCTGTTGGACGCTCTCGATTCACTGCCGACCGTGCGAAGACGATAGCGGAAGCACTGGGTCTTGGTTTTGCTCAAGACGTTGGAGGTCTGGGCCTCGGTGCTCCCGCCCCGCTTCTCCCATCCCTGCTGCCGCCGGAGGGTCACGAAAGAGAAGCTGGAGTATGTCATCGAGCAGGGCGCCGGCTTCGAGCTCGACTGAGGTGGGGCGGGCAGAGCTCGTCCACTACGCGTGGAGTGGCACTTCGCCGGAGTGAACTTTGGTGCGGGCCCACTGCGGTCACCCCGGCTCTGGCCCGCGCGCTTGGACTTTGGGCCCCCCGCGGCCCCCGAAGGCCGCGCCACGAAGGTCACCATTGCCCAGGGCTGCTCGGGGAGCGAAGAATAAGGCAACCGCGGAGTCCCCTCGACCGCCAGCTATTCTCGTGCTCTCGATGGAGTATTTTCTCTTCATGGGGCGGAGGTGCCGTCAAAGTCGAGCCGGACGGCTTCCATGCCGATCGTGGCTCGCATGGGGGACGGAGGCCCACGCATGACAGAGGGAGGGATGGGCGAGGGGCCAGGAGGAGAACGGCACGGAGATCCGAGCGGCGTGGGCAGCAGAAGCTGCGGCTGAAGCGGCGGCGGTAGCAGCAGCGGCGACGGAGCGAGCGAGCGGCCGCGGAGGTCAGCTCCACGACGCGGGCTTGGCTTGCACGCGCCCGCGCGTGCGCGCGCGCGCGCCGGGGCAGCCCTCGGCTGCGCCGCGCGGCCGCGCGGGGGAAACTTCCGCTCGGCGCGCGCGCAGAGAGGGCCCGCGGTGCCTCCGCCCGTTGCTGCGTCTCCGCGGGGTTGAGCTTCCCACTTGGAGCCGGCTGGGGGTCTGAGGTGGCCCAACACCGGTTCCGGCGAGCAGGCAGGGGGGGCGAGGTCCGAGCTTCGGGATGCGTGATTCGGACTGCGTGAAGCATTGAGGCACGGGTGCCCCTCGGGGCAGTTCCACCCCGCTGCGAGCGCCAACATCCCCGCAGGGCCTCCGGGCCAGCGCAGCGGGGTTGCGGGTGGTACCCCAAAGGGGCGCACCACTGGGGGCAGCCGCCTGGGGCCCGCCCCGGTGCACGCAGCGCGCGGCTCTCCGCTCACACTCACTCTCTCTCGCATCGTACTTCCCATCGCAAGCCCCTGCCAATGATTCCAGGAAGCCGCCCAGAGGCAGCATGCCGCCGGAGGTCGAGGTCCGAGTTCTTGCATAGAAGTTTGTTGCATGCTTCTGGCTCCAGCTCTCTTCGGGCCCTGGGATCGTCACAAACGAATGCGGGGTGAGAAAGTACACCAGGTGGACCCTGGGAGGGGGCCCAGGACCGATTTGGGGCAGATTTGGCTTGAACCCCCCTTCCTGACCGATTTTCCGGGGTCTCCACCAGTTCAGACCCCCCGTGCGCCTCCAATTTCGTACCCCATGCTCCCAGCCTTGCGGAGGTTAGGGCAGTCCCTCAGATCCGGGCGTTGCAGCTGCTTCGCACTGGGAGTCTTTCGCCCCCGTGTCGAGCCTGGGGACCCTCGCAGATCGCTGCAGCTCAAAGCCTGGAGCAGCAAGATGGGATCAGTCCGGGGCTCTGGTCGTGATTTTCCATACGACGTCGCCTCGCGGCCTGGCGGCGCGCACATGGAGAGCGTCGCGAGAGGGGCGGCCTTCACTTCTCAGTCGGAGGGCGGGGCGGCTCTCTCGGAAGGGGCACCGTGCCTTCGTGGAGGCCTTCCCCGCGTCTGGCAAGCCTTCTCGGAGGCCTCCGGGCCCTGGCAAGAAGCCCCTACAGGCCCCGGCAGCCTCCTTGGGCGCCGGCCCGTCCTGCTCCACCCCTCTGCGCGCTCAGCCGGGCAAGGTCGAGCCGGAGGTCTTTCGCAAGCTTCAGCGCCCGGGGGGCGTTTCTTGGCCCAGGGCACGGAGCGTCAGGATGGCGAAACTAATTCGGGGGTGGGTTTTGCTCTGCACACATCCACAGGGCCCTCGGAGGGCGCGCTGGACCATGGACAATTACGTTCGGGCCCCCAGGGGCCTAGAGATGTCCATATCCACCGTGGAGCACTGAGCCCCCAAAGGTTGTCATCTTGGGGGCGCATCTCTTCCTTTCGCCGCCGAAGCCGCTCTCGCTTCACTTCGGCCAGCTTCCGCCGACCTTCCGCCGCCTTCCGCCGAGGAAGAGGTGCCGACTCCCTCGGCCCTCGCAGGCAGGGGCCCCTTCTGGAGCGCCCCGCGTGGACTTCGGCCTCGCCTCCAGGCCGCGCACGGGGTCGAGAGGTCGGAAGGCCCGGCGCCCGAGCAGAGCTCGAGCAGCGTCGGAGGCCCGGGTCCCCGGCCAGGCCCGAGCAGGGCCCCGTCGTGCCCAGCGCGGTGCGGTGACCACAGCGCGCGGCTGCTCCGTGCAGGCTCGGGGTGGCCTCACGGTGTCGGGGCTCGTGCTCACAGGGGGGGAAGGGGTGCCCGTGCCCGTGCCACACCCTCGGATCTCGACTTCGTGGGCCTCCTGGGAGGACCTCGTCGCCACGGCTGGATTCGCCTCGGGATGCTCGTCAGAGCGCGCCCCGGGAGAGGTCCGTGGAGCGGCTGTATCAGTACCTCCTGGATTCCCCACGCACCCCCCCGGCTGACGGGTGTTGGCCGAGCCTGGCCTCTCGTTGCCGCGTGAAGCGGGCGCGCTCCAGCAACAGGAGTGCCCAGTCCCAGAGCGCTAAGTTGGAGAATCTTTCTGCTGTCAGCACGACGTCATATCTCAGGCTGGGGTTGGGCAAGGCTGACGCGCCCTCGGTCGGGCTCCGCCCTTTGTATCTCTGCGTGTGCCTGGTGGATGCGGACGACGAGTGATTTGTTTTGCATTAATCTCTCATCCCCTGCTTCGCGACTGAGGGGTGGGTACGATTTCTCCTCATTTCGAGATCCGATTGCCTCCTGAACCACAGTTGTTTTTGCTTCTGCTCCTCATCCTCCTCTTGCTCTGTCGAGCCGGAGCAGCGTTTCACCCACATCCATTTGTGATTATCTGAGCTTGATTTGCTGCCGATGCGTCGGACGGCGTATGGCCTGTGGGTGAGTGAGTGCCCGAGTGCCCCTTTGATCCATTGCTGTGGTGGCCCAGGG